CATCACCAACTCAACCTGGCCGTCTGGCTACATTCAAATACCCAGCGGCACAGCAACGGATAAGACTCCAGGCCCTCCGCACGGCTGCCCGCATTGGGGACCTCCGCGTTCGCCTCCGCCTTCCTCCGCTTCGGGTCTCCAGAGTGCAGGGCGGCTCCGGGGGCAGGCAGACGGACAAAAAGTCGGGACGGACTGTGGGAAAACCGGGGGAACGGAACCACTCCCAATGCAGGTTTTTTCCTATCTTCCCCAGTCGCAGTCAGTCGCGCCCAGAGTCCCAGGTTTCAATGTTCTCCGCCGTAGCATCCATTGTCCACTTTGTCTCGGCCTTGCCTTGCCTTGCAGCACACTCCAGCCCCGATTCCAGGGCTGGGCCAAGAGCCCACACCTTGCGCCTCGCCGTTGGCCGGTGGCTTCGCCCTGGGGCGTGGGGGCCGCACACCGCGATGCGGCTCTCGTTCGCTGAGGAGGTGTGGCATGTGGTTCACGGCACTGGCAGACCCGCTAAAGCGTGGGATGACGGGGTCGAGCGGTGGAGACCTGGACTGCCATGGAGCAGCAGCAGCCAGCGCTGGTGAGAACCTACCATGGAATATTAGGTGCTGCGCTAGGGCAACCCTGCCAGGTCAGCCAGGCACCTGGGGGCCAGACCGACCATGCTCCCGGGACACGCGCCCAAGAAACAAAATATCCATGACATCGGGCAACCGGTGCGTGGTCTACGAGACAGGAGCCCCAGATGCTGGACAGTCGGGAGCATGGGGGAAAATTATGCGCGTCATGCGGCAGCCGGCCGGACCCAGCAGCGCCAACGCCAGCGCCAGCCCGCGCCAAACACCGGCAAACCGGGCGGGCAGGGCCGGGCTGCAGCGAGCGGCGGCGGCGGGCTGGCATGGCAGTTTGTGCCTGAAACCCACCTGGCCACTCAAGTCACTCCGCTTGGCCGATGAAAACGTTACAGCCGCTGGTGCGAGGGTGCGAGGTGCCGAACTTAGGTGCTGCTCTATCAACTCTACCTCTACCGTTGCACTACCTTGGCAGAGAGCGGTATAGCGCCCGTTTCCACGGCCACTGTTCCGCCCCCATGCCCGTCGGTTCTGCGCTTCACCCTTGCACCTCGCTCGTACGAGTTCGACGCCGTAACGGACTGACGAGTCGATTTGGCGTGTCGTTGCCCATTGGATCGGCGGCAGCCGTTAGGCCAGGCGGGATGAGGCGAGTGTGCGAGCGAGCGAGCGCGCGAGTGAAGGCTTGCCGAGCGTCCCGGATCGCCGTCGCTCATCAGGGGCGGGAGGCGATGCCCGCGGTGGCGTGGGCGTGACAGTACGTAACTTAGATAGCCTACTCGTGTTTGCAGATGCGCGGGGAGGCGATAAGGGTTCGTTCCGGGTGAGCGGTGCGTATCTGCCTGAATACGGAGATACTGCCCGGTGGGCAGGGATTACTATGGAATTTCTCCGGGCACTGCAATGTCTCTACGAGTAGATCCTCTAGGTAGGGATGCCGTTTTGGTGTTTTGGTCCGCAGCACATAATACCGAGGTCATGATGATAAGCGTAATTTCGAGGCCGGGTCTAACGGTGGCGCTTCGTATCTAATGTCTATCGAGGTCCAAGCACAGTCATACGCACGCGTGTGTGAGGCGTCTCGTCTCCATCAGCGCCCCGGCAAGGTTCGCGTGCAGTGAGTGCCCGTGCATCGTGTTAGTTGAGCGCCCGCCGCAGCTCCCGCTGCAGGCACCGCGCCCCGTCGACGGCCGGCTGCCGCACCGTCTCGACGCGCGCAAACTGCCACCTGTTGGCCAGCGCGTCCACCAGCCGGCCCCTGTACTCGTCGTCCTGCATCAGCCCGCCCGCCAGCACCAGCCCGCACCGCCGCGTGTCCAGCGCCTGCGTCTCCGCCAGCGCCGCCACCAGCTCCGCCAGGCTCGCCGTGCCGGCCTCGACGATGGCCCGCGCCTCGGCGTCGCCGCCGTCCGGCGTGCGCACCGCGTCGAGCACCACCCGCGCCACCGATGCGATGCGCTTCGTTGCGCCCTGCGCGGCGCCCGCGTCGCTCGTCGGCTGGTCGGGCATCAGCACCGTGCTGAGCAGGTCCTGCGGCCGGCATGCCGGGTGCTGCTTCTTGAAGTGCTCCAGCACGGCGCCGGCGAGCGGTGAGAGTGCTGCGTCGTTGGGGGTCGCGGCGCCGCTCTCGCTGCGCATGCGGTGCAGGTCCGCCTGGCGCAGCGCCCGCCGGAGGGCCTCCCGTCCGAGGCCGTAGCCGCCGCCGTCGTCGCCGAGCAGGTACCCCCACCCGCCGGCGCGCGCGGACCGGGCGAAGCCGCCGTCCTTGGCCCGCGCGTAGCTCATGGCCACGGAGCCCGTGCCGGCGACGAGCACGACCGCCGCGTCGAGGCTCTGGTCCTCGGCGACGGTCGTGGGCAGCAGGTCGATGTCGGCCGTGACCCGCAGGCCCTGGCCGACGCGCAGCTTGAGCAGGTCCGCCAGCGCCGCGTCGATGAGCGGCGACAGCGCCGGCCGCTCGTAGCCCGCCATGCCGACCCATGCGGCGGAGAACTTGACGGCCTGGAACTGCCGCCCGCGCGTGGCCTCGCAGTTGTCCGCTGCCTCTTGTATGGCCGTGGACATGACGGCCATGGCTGCATCGACGCCAATGGTCGAGCTGGGGGAACTTGTCAGCGATGAATAGTCGTCTCGGACATGCACCACTTACACGTTGCACGGGCCTGCGGAGCCGCACGCCGAAGCCCCGTCCGGTGTCATGATGACGGCCCGGCAGCTGGAGCCGCCGGCGTCCACGCACAGAACGAGCCCGTCGTCGTGGTGCTCCTCCTTGACGGCCTGCTGCTGCGCCTCCTCAAACACGCGCGCGAGCACGCCCTTGTTGCGCTCCAGGCGCGCCTCGGCGTCCGCGACGGACACGCCCAGGACGATGGTGACGGCCGCGAGCTTGACGCTGCCGCGGCACGCCGCCAGCACGGCGTCGAGCTCGTCGTCCGTCTGCGTGCACGCGGCGCCGCCAATGAGCCGGAGGATATTCTTGGCGCGCTGCCTTAGCTTGATGTTGGTGGCTTTCAGATCGATCATCTGGGGAACAACCAAGATCTCGTGTCAGCCGTGGCGTCGAGTTTCTCCGACCTGCCGCATTGGGGGCCACCATTGCTGCAGGGTCCCTTTTGCGCGGGCCATGGTGTCGTTTCGCCGGAACGACTTCCGCACTGGCCCAACGACAACACCAAGTGGTGGTGGGAGGGCGGGGGAGGACACGAGGGGGTCTTACCAAGTTGCCGTAGGTCTTGCCCAGCTTGATCATGATGCCGGTGCTTATCATGTTGAGGACCAGCTTGGTGGCCGTGCCGGCCTTCATGCGGGTGCTGCCCGTGACGGACTCGGGCCCGGTGACGGCGGCGATGACATGGTCGGCGTTGCCCTCGTCCTGGACGGCCGACGGCTGGACGCAGACGACGGCGACGGTGGCGCCGCCGATGCGGCGCACATGCTCGAGCCCGCCGAGGACGTAGGGCGTGCGGCCGGACGAGGCGATGCCGATGAGCGAGTCGACGTCCGGGTCGAAGCCGTAGGGCCGCAGGTCCTCCTCGGCACCGGATCGGCTGTCCTCGGCGCCCTCCTTGGCGTTGCGGAGCGCGTAGTCGCCGCCCGCGATGAGGGCGATGAACTTGTCGGGTGGTGCCGAGTATGTGGGCGGGATTTCCGACGCGTCCAGGACCCCCAGTCTGCGAGGAGGGGTGATGGTGGTGTCAGCCGGTGCTCGCTTGCATGTGCGATAGCCCGGCCCTCTCGGCGTGCATTCCGCACTTGGAACGGCAGCGCGCGAAGCGAGGCGACACGAGACGAGGGGGCAAGGCAATAGTGAAAAAGGCAAGCATGGGGATAAGCATGGATGGGATGCCCGGGGGTCAGGCAAGACGCCATGCAGAGGGGGACGGGGACGGGGGAAAAGGAGGCTTGCTAGGTTTGCGGTTGATGCTCACCTCCCGCTGGTGCCGGCGCCAATGTAAAACACCCTTCCGCCGCGGCGCACGCGCTCCGTCAGCAGGTCGATGGCCTCAGCGATGGCGGGCACGCAGGGCTCGACGGCCGAGGGCACGCGCGCGTCCTCGCGCTGGAGGATGCGGCATAGCTCGAGCGTCGAGACGGTGTCGATGGCCGTGGTCCGGGGGTTCCTCGTCTCGGTCTGCAGGCCGGCGAGCTGCACGACGGGCTGCTGCTGCTGCTGCGGCTCTGAGGGCGCCATGGTTGCGGTCTTGCTGTGTCGTTGCTGGCGACGCAGGAAAATTACGAATCAAAGGGCGGCGTAATTATCTGGTGGCCGCGTCGTCGAATGCCCGGCGCATGCACCGACTGAGCTGCCAGCCGGGTTGCGCGGTGATTTGTGTTAAAGTCGAACGATACCGAGTTACCGACTAGGTGGTTACCCCCCAGGCGTGTGAGGCGAAATCGATGGATACAGTAGCCGGCGGATTCAAGTCCCAGAATCTCAAATCAAGCGTCTCGACCCGGGCGTCCGGAGCTGTGCGTGTGCGTATATACAAGTAAACAAGGCAAAAGAGAGAACTCGACCGCTTTGGCAATCCGTATCGTTGCGCAACCAAGGGTAAACGGGATTACCCAGCCCTCCCTCCGCCGCCGCGGAGCCGATGTCGTCGGGGATCCTTCACCGGCATGGAGTGCGCTGCGCTGTCTGGCATGTCAGCGACCAGCCGCTGCAGCAATGGCAAACCCGACCCTGCAGGGCCGCTAAGCCAGGCGCTAGACGCCGCCATGTTGCAGGCGCGCCATGTGGCTTGCGTATTGCCGGCCAACCCAACGTCGCGATTCTTCAGCGTCGAGTCCCAAAACGGTGCGCCCGCACGCCGTTCGCCGCCGCCTCCCCTCCCGGGGGTTTCGTTTGCCTGGCTTCCTGGCTGTCCGTCCCCAACGGGGGCGATTATCCCGTGGCCCGAGAGGGAGGGGGCGCGGCCTGTTGGGGTGCGAGAGGACGGGAATCAGCCTCCGCGTCTCCAGCGACGTGTAATCTTTTTTCGCCGCCGGCTCGCTGAGCCTGTGGGGAGGCGTGAAACGCTGCCTTTATCCTGGGGAGCCATGTGGGCGGCTCTCTCTCTCCAGCGGGGCCCCTCGCTCGCTCACCTTGGGGACGGCCAGCGCCCGTCGCTCGTAAGGTTCTCGTATGTACTCGACTTTTCAGGTCGGGTGCAAAGGTGCCCGCTTGACGTCTCGGTGGCCGACATGACATCAACACACGGCTTGTGGGCTGTGACTGCTACATACCTACGTAAGTCGTCGACCCTCTCTGCCGTGCCAAGCAGCCATCGCAGCGCCAACACCGGCATCCAGCAGCCCCCAAGGACGCTGGCGGGCTGGGCATGGCCCCCTGCAGCGCCGTCTGGGTTGCCGGACGCTGCGCGCCACGCACCGATTGGTGTTTCCAGCATGGGCATCCAGCTGGGAGGGGCCCCCGCTGGCCCAGCGCCTTCAGCCACCAGCGCCCCAGCCGGCTGCCGCGAGTCACGGCAAGCACTTCCATGAGCAGCAGTGCAGCGGCCGCTAGGCGTAGGTCTGTCTGGGCTCTGACCTGCCTGGGAAGCAGCACCACCCCGGTGGAGAGTTCTGGCGCGCCGACGAAATCGCCGCCGCCGCGATCAACCCAGCGGGGGCTCCGCTGCCCGTCCACCACCCCGTCCGTCCCAGGTTCCCCCCTCCACATCTTCACCCAGACTCTGCCGCCATACCACCCTCTTCCACACGAGATGTGGAGTTTTGCCCGGCCGCCACCATGTAACGTGGCAAGTGCCAAAAAGATGCTTCCATTTCTTCGATTCCAGGAGCCAGGGGGGGCGCGTTACCCAAGGTTTGGTTCGCTCCTTGGTTCGTTCGGTGTGTCCCTCCCTCCCTCCCTCCCCCGGTCGGTCTCGCGCCCGCCGGATTCTGCGCCCGGGACGCCCATACACCTGTCTCTTATACACATCTAGATGTGTATAAGAGACAGCCCATACACCCACCCCCGGCTGTCTGCGGCCGAGCAGATGCGACGACGACGACACCACCAGACGCCGTTGCAACAAGGGCAGCACCACGGCGCCAGGGCCCACGGGCGTTTTCCATGTCGTCGCTCAACGCTTGCAATTAGCCTGCCCGAGGGCATGGTATCGTCCGTTCGCGCGTTTGCACCCCGAGGTTTCTGGCTGCTATATCTAAACCGCCCGCCCCGGCCCTCTTCTCCGCGTTCCCCCTTCTCCAGTCCGGGGCTCCGGGTTTCCTTTTAGACTTTCTCTGCCGCTGTGCCTCTCTGCCCGCTGCCGTCGTCTCTCACATACACTCTCTCTCTCCGCCCTCGCCCTCCCTACACCCCCCGTCGAGACAGTCAACCGTCCTCGCACAGCCAAGGACGCAGCTCGCGCAATGGCCCACGAGACGCATGAGCTCGCCGCTGCGGGCACGGGCGACAAGCCCGCCGCCGCCCACTCGGCCGAGAACGCGGCCCACGTCGATGCCGACCGCGAGACGGGCGTCGCCGACAATGTCGACTTTGAGCAGAGCTCGTCCAAGCTGGTGCGCTTCTACGCGCACCCGTGGACGCAGATTCTCCTCATCAGCTTCATCTGCTTCTGCCTGCCGGGTGTACGTCTCCAGCTCTCCACTGCTGCCTCACTCAAGATGGGGCATGTTGTTATTCTTGTACGCGGTGAAAGCTGACTAGTTGCCTCCAGATGTACAACGCCCTCACCGGCCTCGGCGGCTCCGGCCAGGTCGACTCGACCGTCGCGGCCAACGCGACCGTCGCGCTGCTGTCGACGACGGCCGCCACCGCCCTCTTCTTCGTCGGCCCCATCTTCTCGTTTGTCGGCCCGCGCATCTGCTTCCTCATCGGCGGCTGGACGTACGCGCTGTACTCGGGCTCGCTGCTGAACTTCAACCGCACCGGCAACGGCGCCTTTGTCATCGCCTCGGGCGCCATCCTGGGTGTGGGCGCCTCCTTCATCTGGATCGTGCAGGGCGCCATCATGACGACGTACGTCTCCGAGTCGCAAAAGGGCCGCGCCATCGCCGTCTTCTGGGTCATCTTCAACCTCGGCGGCGGCATCGGCTCGCTGGCCTCGTTTGGCCTCAACTACAGCTCCAAGTCGGGCACCGTCACCAGCTCCACCTACATCGCCCTCATGGTCGTCATGCTGTTCGGCTGGTGCCTGGGCGTCTTCATCTGCAACCCGTCGCGCATCCGCCTCGCGCAGCTGCACAAGGCCGTCGAGACGGAGAAGCACACCATCAAGGGCAGCATCATGACGGCCGTGCGCACCATCTTCAAGTGGCGCGTCGCCTGCATGCTGCCCCTCTTCTTCTCCGCCAACGTCTTCTACTCGTACCAGCAGAACAACGTCAACGGCGAGACGTTCAACATCCGCTCCCGCTCCCTCAACGGCGCCCTGTACTGGCTGGCCCAGATGCTCGGCGGCCTGCTCATCGGCCTCATCCTCGACATCCCCTGGCTGTCGCGCCCCAACCGCGCCCGCCTCGGCTGGGTCACCGTCTTCGTCACCGGCATGGCCATCTGGGGCGGCGGCTACCAGTTCCAGAAGTGGCAGGACGCCCGCACCGCCGCCGGCCACAAGCAGGACATTGACTACAAGGAGGGCAGCCTCTCCACGGGGCCCATCTTCCTCTACATCTTCTACGGCGCCTACGACGCCCTCTGGCAGGGCTTCGCCTACTGGCTCATCGGCACCGAGTCCAACAGCGCCGCCCGCGCCGCCGTCCTCGTCGGCGCCTACAAGAGTCTGCAGGCCGCCGGCGGCGCCATGGCCTGGCGCATCAACGCCCTCAAGGTCAGCCCCATGTCCCAGCTGGGCATGAACTGGGGCCTCTGCATCGGCTCGCTCATTGTCGTCCTGCCCACCGTCTGGACCGTGACCACGCACACGACGGTCGAGGAGGAGGTCAAGGCGACGCACCAGGTGCCGGAGAGCAAGCTGGTTGAGGAGTCTTAGGGGGCGCCATCGGCCAGGGTGATCCGTAGTACATTAATAAGACATAATTTGCATAGATTTGGGGCATTGTCAACTTGACTGATTGTGACTAGAAGAAGATGAGTAGTGGCGTTGACGTTTTTCATTGTAAATGTGCCTTGCCAGCGATGCGAAAGTGAAGGTTGACGGTAGCATTATCTGTGGGCATTGATACCCTGACGAAAAGGAAGATGCAGAATCCGTGACTTCAACGTCTCGCTGTTACAGCCTAAAAGCAGCACTCATCCAACTCAGACGGCGAGGCAGAAATTTCACCCGCGAGGCACACAGGCGTCAAAAACAACTAACAGAACCCAAGAATTCAATCTTGAGCTAAAAACAACACAAGAGCAAAAAAATAAATGCGGCCAGTGTGACTCGAACACACGACCTTCAGATAGGCATCCGTAGGATTGAAGTTTGACTTCAGTCTGACGATCTCCCAGCTAATCTATGGCCGCAGATATTCCGATGGGGGACCTAAAGATGCTCATAAAGGGCAGGCTACCCAGCCTGTCCGGTGCCCCGTTCGTGTAAGATGAGGCTTGGAGCAAAAAAGAGGACTACGGGGCAGAAGTGTGCGTGTGTGTGTGCGTGAGGTGGATCGCGAGGTGGTGGGGTTTGGGTGCGTCGTGGTGGGGTTCAGACGCTTTGCTTCTCTGGGACTCTGGGAGGCATGCTTGGCATGGACATGGAGGGACGAGGGGAGGGGATGGGGACTTGGACAAAGTGGAGCAGAGAGGTGCAAAAAAGGGCAAAAAAAATGCGGCCAGTGTGACTCGAACACACGACCTTCAGATAGGCATCCGTAGGATTGAAGTTTAACTTCAGTCTGACGATCTCCCAGCTAATCTATGGCCGCAGATACTCCGAACTGATTTATTGTCTCTTATATACCCCCGCCTGTCTCCCCGCGTGCGCAGAAACATCAATTGTCCGCTCCAACACTGCGCAATTGATGAGAAATGTCGATAATTCACTCTTGGAAGCATCAATTGACCTGGGATGGTAACGTGAGCTTGTGCGACTGCCGTGTTCGGTGGGTTGCGCTCGCATGGGAACCTGCACTCTGGGATTGGGCCGTCTACTACATCATGAACACCACAATTGAGCCATGGCCAGTTGAGCCTTCAGAGGACTTTGGATAATGCATATTCCTTTTCACCCGTCTATGCTCATAGTCTACTCTGTAGCTCAAAGGTCTGCTACTGAATGCTCTCCAACCCAGTCCCCGGCCTTCAAGGCATGCATTTCATGAACCCGCGTGCCCTTCATGAACCCCTCGTCGTGCCCAGCCATGACGTCCCATCTCCCTGCACCTCTCTCCCTCACCTGGTCCTCCTCTCCGTGATGCTCTCGCCAAACGGCGCGTCCACCACGAACCCGCCCCGCCCCGCGTCCAGCTCAAACACCTTGCGCCCGCGCAGCCACGTCTCGCGCACGCGGCCGACAAACTCGCGCCCCTCCCACGGCGAGCAGCGGTTCTTCCAGCGCATGTCGCCCTGCGTAAAGGTCCACGCCTCGGCGTCGTCGAAGACGCACACGTCGGCGTCCATGCCCGCCGCCAGCGCGCCCTTGCGGTGCGCCAGCCCGACCTGCTCCGCCGTCGCCTGGCAGCACAGCCGCACAATGTCCGTCAGCGAGGGCGCCGCCCCGGCGCCGCCCGCCTTGATGCGCTGCCGCGACGCCGTGTGCAGGATCGGCAGGCCAAGGCCGACGGACGAGATGCCGCCCCACGCGGCCATGAAGTCGCCGCCGCTGCCGTTGGCCTTGTTGCCGTTTTGCTGCTGCGGTTGCGAGGAGGCTGCCGCCGTCTTCTTGTCGTCCCCGCGGAGGTGTTCCGGCAGCAGCTTCAGCTCGGGCGTACACGGCGAGTGGTCCGACACGACGGTGCGGATGCACGAGTCGGCGGCGACGAGCTCCTCCCACAGGCCGTCGCGGTTGCGGCCCTCGCGGATCGGCGGGCAGCACTTGTGGCGCGTGTCGCCGCGCGCAATCTCCTCGGCCGACAGCCCCAGGTAGTGGAAGCACGTCTCGGCCGTGATGTTGACGCCGCGCGCGCGCGCCGCCCGCAGCAGCGGGATGCACTGCGTCGCCGACAGGTGCACAATGTGCAGCGGCAGCGAGGGCGCGATGTGCGCCAGCGACAGGATCTCCTCGACGGCGGTCGTCTCGTACGAGGGCGGCCGCGAGTCGAGGAACGTCTGATACGCCGTCTGGTCCTCGGGCTGCTTGGTGTGGCCGTTGGTGCCGTTGGTGCCGTTGGTGGTGCCGTTGGTCTCGGCGGGCACCATCTCGGCGTGAAACATGAGCGTCGTGGCACTGTCCTTGAGCGCCTCCATGGCGAGGGCCACGTCCTTGGACGACACTGCCGGGAACTCGTCGACCTGTGTGTCGTTGTCAGCGCATCGCATTCATCAACCTCATTGTGTACCCCGCGTGAACGGACTGGCGACACATACCCCGGACTCAATCAGGAAGCCCTTGAAGCCGCGCACGCCCGCGTCGACCAACGGCCGCAGGTCCTCCGCATTGCCGGGAATGACGCCGCCGTAGAAGCCCACGTCGACCCAGCACTGGCCCCTGCTGGCGCGCAGCTTCTCGTTGAAGTTTGCGACGGTGGTGGTCGGGGGGATGGCGTTGAGGGGCATGTCGACGACGGTGGTGACGCCGCCGCTGGCCGCCGCGCGCGTGCCCGTCCAGAAGCCCTCCCACTCGGTGCGGCCCGGCTCGTTGAGGTGGACGTGGGCGTCGACGAGGCCCGGCAGCAGCAGCCGCGGCGAGTGGTCGACGTAGGCGCTGCCTGCGGGGAAGCTGCTCGCGGGGAGCACCTCGGGCGCGACGGAGACGATCTTGCCCGTCGCGGGGGAGATGGCGATGCTGGCGGGCGAGACGACGAGCGAGTTGTCGGGCAGGGTGAGGACGGCGCGCGAGGAGACGAGGACGGTGAGGGGCGGCGATGCGCCTGCGTCTGCGCCGACGCCGTTGGGGGCCGTCATGGTTGCGCGAGAGACGGTGCGGTGCGGTGCGGTGCAGAGCGGATCACGACGTCCTCGGGCGAGCGAGCGCGTGGCAGAGCTGAGGTTGCGCGAAGCGAGGGGGAGGTTGATGCGCGTCTCGAGATATGCGCGGAACAGTGATGGTGAACGAAGCCGCCACCAACCCGAGGGGCGAGGTCTAAATACCCAAAACGGGACGGGACGGGGACTCTACGGCTCTGGGGGGCACAGCAACGGGGTAAGGTTTGCAGGGTCAGGTTAAACGGGAATTTTGGCCAGCCAGCTGGGCTCCCGAGAGCATCACGAGGGCTGCCGAGATGAGATGGGCGTTTCGCCGCCGCTGGGGTTGGGTGGTGGTTGTCGGCCGGCGCCGGGCCTCGCCTTTTGGTTCCAGTTCTCTGGCGTCGGGAAGGCAACCTGGAAACGAACCCCAGCTCTGCTTGGTGCCTCGGGGGCTATTTCTGCGGAGCGGAGACCCTGATGAGTGACGGAGGGTGAGTGAGTGAGTGAGTGAGAGCCAGCCACGCGGGGCCCGACCCGATCGATGCAGCCCGCCAGGCCCAGGCCAGATGCCGTGCGCCGCCGCCGTCGCCGGGTGGGATGCGTTGCGGTGGATAGGTAATAGCAGGCATCTCAACTGGAGCGCCGCCGCCATCCCTCGGCAGCTCCCTACGAGTGCACGCGCGGGACGGGCGACGAGAGCCCGGCCAGGTCCTAAGGTAGATTGCCCTGCCCAATGCGACATCAATGGACGGCATCGCACCGCACCGCACCGCACCCCACGCGCCGGCCCATGGCCCGCCATGGTTTATCTCGCGGGCTGTGTCGGCGAGTCGGTTGGCGGTGGTGACAGTGGTGGACGATGGCGGGGCAAGCGGGCGCGCACGGGCGGGCGTTTTTGCAGCAGGCGGGGCACGGCATCGCCAAGGAGGTCCCGCTGTCGGACCTGGCCGACGGCTCTGCCGCCGCCTGCGGGCAGTGAGCGCGTAGGTACCGTACGGGAGGCTACGGAATATTTTCCACGAACGGGCCGCCCGCGTCTAGGGTAGTGGTGCTGGCAGCAACCGCGCACGGCGAGCCGCGTCTCACATGCTTTGCGATGGAGCGATTGAGTAATTGATTTGAGGCTACATAGATGGATTATGCCATTGCGACATGATTCATTATTTTTGCATTTTTATTAGGGTTGCTTTGTTCCCCTGAGAGCCAGCGTTGGTGCCGGCAAGAACGTGGCTCACACATAGTCTCTGAATGGCGGCATCACCAGAAACGGCCTGCACCTCTAATCCTCTCAGTCCTGCCACAACTGCTTCACCGACACAAGCACCCTCATGCGAATCGCCTCTGCAAACGCCAATCCTCAATTGAGCTGAATATACACGCCGCTGCAGTCCCCGGTGCCTGTATCATACCAACACCAACCCCCTCTGCAGTGGAACCATGCGCCGCTTCCTCTATGTGCGTAGTTTTAGTCAGAATGTGCCCGGCTCATGCAAGACTCCCCTCCCCGTCCCTCGTCCTCGAAACCCAGGTTTCCGTCCCTTGCCGGCCCGACATAGTCTTGATCCAAGTCATGCAAAGTACAGTAATCATACACGGCGCGCTCAGCCCGCCCGCCCGCCCCTCTCCGTCCGTCTCGCTGGCATTATTTCTGTCGCTTAATCGTCTTTTGCGCCATCTCAATCAGGCCGTCTTTGGCCTCGCTGTCCGGAAAGTCGGCAATCGCGGCAATGGCCCTGTCCGAGTAGTCGTGCGCGAGGGCACGCGTCTGCTCGATGCCGTCGCTCTGGAGCACCAGCTCACGCGCCTGCACGGACCAGTTAGCCACACCCGGTTGGCGCCAACAGAGTCAAAGTGGCCGAGGAATCATACCTTTTCGACGTCGCCGTCCCGCTCAAACTTGCGACCGACCAGCGCACCCAGCTCCGGGTTCTGCTTCCACGCAAACAGCAGGGGCGCCGTCGCCAGCCCCAGCTCCAGGTCGGCGCCCGCGGGCTTGCCGAGGTCCTTGCCGCTGCGCGTGTAGTCCAGCATGTCGTCCACCAGCTGGAACGCCAGCCCCAGATTCCGTCCGTACGAGTACGCCGCGTCGACCGTCGTGCTGTCTGCGTTGCCGAGCAGCGCGGCCGCGCGGCACGACTTGGAGATGAGGCTGGCCGTCTTGAGGTACGTCTTTTGCAGGTAGTAGCTCAGCGTCTCCTCCGAGTACTTGGGGCTGCGCTCGTCGCGCTCCGTGTTCTTGAGCTGCATGAACTCGCCCTCGACGAGGTTCGCAATGACCGTCGCGAGCAGCTCCACGACCTCGACGTGCCGCAGCCGCGCCAGCGCCACTGACGCCCGGCCGAGCAAGAAGTCGCCCGCCAGCACCGCCATCTTGTTGCCAAACTCCAGGTTGGCAGAGGGCGAGCCGCGCCGCGAGACGGAGTGGTCAATCACGTCGTCGTGCAGCAGGGAGGCGGTGTGGATCAGTTCCGTGATTTCCGCCAGCCGTCTTTGGCTCGGCAGGATGTCGAGGTTTCCGTCCTCGGGCGCCTCGGGTTCCCTGGCCGTCAAGGGCATGGCCGAGGGGTTCACGTCGGCCAGGATCTGCGCGGGCGATATCGACGAGTCGATGGCCCTCGCACTCTGCGTGAGCTCGGGGCGCGGGTTCTTGGGGCACAGGTGCGTGGCCCGGCTCATGAGCAGGACGATGAGCGGCCGGACGTGCTTGCCCTCGGCCTGGGTGTAGTATTTGGCGACGCGGTCGAGCGACGGGTGCCCGGAGCCCAGCAGCTTGCGGATGTTGCCCGTGAGGAACTGCATCTCCTTGGCGACGGTGCGCAGGGGGTCGACCGTCATGCCGTCCTTGGCCGCCTTCTTGACCACATTGCCCACGACGTTGGAGGCGACCTGGACGGCCGCCGCCCACGCCGAGTCGCGTCTTTGTGAGCTGTGTATCGTCGCGCGATGTGTCGTCGCCGGGAGGGGGCTGGCGGGAGGGCGTCGGCACAGCACGCATGCCGGCGTCGTGATTCTGCGGGAGACGGCGTCGCGGAGCACCGTGGCTCCCGGACGGAGCTGCATGACGGGCAGCAGGCGTCGCGACGCGGTGCGTAGAGGGTGGATGAGGGCGGCGACTGGCTGTTGAAGGGGTCGCGCGCGGTATCAGGGGGCCGTGGCCGTCGACGTGGGCTCAATTGGCGAGACGCGGGTATGGGACGATGTCTGGAAAGATGCTCGAGATGCCGCCGAAACTTTTCGACCCACGGCCGCACCACCTGCAGCGAGCGACGAAAAGCGGCAGACACGGATTGGGCCGGAGAGCCAGGAACCCACTTGGCCGGTCGCACAGGGACATGGATGCGCCGACAGCACCTGCGCAGCCAGAGCAGCTGGCAGAGAGCTCCGCTGTCAGGCCGGATCTGCTGCTCCTATTGGCCCGTGCGGCGCCTCATGCGAGCCTCAGGCTCGGCAGCCGCTGTAATTCGCCACTGAGACGATAAGCAGGCACCGAGCTGCACGAGCTCCCTGCCGAGCCGTTGACGTGGTGCACGCCTCTCGGCTGTTGTGTGACACGCCCAAGACAGCCGCCAAAGCCACTGTCAGCCCAGCTGGAGCCGGCGTCGCACTCTGGCACACGTCCGACGTCGACGCTGCTCGCCAGGCAGCCATCTCAACCCCGACGGACAATTGCATCGTCCTTGACCCCGAGACGCAACCATTCGTCGCATATCTGTCCGACGATTGTGCGTCTGCTGCGAATGGTCGGCGCGCCTGCTGTCATACCTCTGTGATGGTGCTCCTCACGATGACGCCGTCCATCGTGGACGGCTTGCGCAAGGTCGAAGCCGAGCAGGACGAAGGCCGCCGCGCCACCGCGCAAAGCAAAGACGCATCTGCGGCGGCAAGCAGTGAACCCTCCCTCGAGGATCCCGCCGTCGGCAAACCCATCTCCCATGGCCAGATTGTCGACCTATGGCAAAAGCTACGGCCGTCATCAAACCTCGAGCAACTCCTCCAAGGCGCCCGCGTCTACATCCCACCTCCTCCACCAAAGCCTGAACCAGTACGCCCGTCTCTGCTCCCATTCTGTCTTGACTTCCTACTGACAGCCTCCAGTCCGACGAATACAAAGCGCTCATGGCCCGCCTGCGCCGCGAAGAAGCCGCCCGCGCCTACGAGCGCATGGTCAACCCGCCGCTGCGATACGAGACGTTCGACCAACGCTTCCCGCACGCCGGGCAGTCCTTTGCCGAGGCCAACCGCGTCACCAATAAGGCGGACCTGGGTGACGACGAGGTCACGTACAACGAGGTCCACCGGCAGGTGATGCTCATCATCAACTTCCTCGCCAGCATCCTCGGCGTCGCGGCGACGCTCTGGGTCACGGCGCGGTGGTGGGGCCTGCCGGCGCGCATCTTCCTGACGCTCGGCGGGAGCATCGTCGTGGCCGTCGCCGAGGTCGGCGTGTACCAGGGCTACGTGTGGAGGATGGGGCAGGCCAAGACGAAGCAAAAGGCCGTCAGGGAGGTCAAGGAGGTGGTGCAGACGTGGGTCGTGGGCCAGGAAGAGAAGACGGGCGAGGAGCCGCTGCTGTTGAAGACCAAAGACGAAGACGCCGACGGTGGCGTACGGAAACGGGCGACGGCAGCCGCAAAGCCGGACACATAGCGAGTTCAATATCACGATTGAACGATCCAACACCTCACGAGTGGACGAATGCAGTCGTTGCTTGTGCAGTCATTTCCAGCGGACTGCCTAGCATCATGCCCAGCTAGCACTTAAAGGCAAACGTGGTGCTCTCCCACCCCTTGCGCGCCCGTATCCTCGCGCCCAAGCCCTCGCCGCCGTCAACGGGCTTACACGACGGCGCCGACAGCTTCGAGCCGTCCATCTTGAGGTCCGCAAACTCCATCCCCACGGGCTCGACCTCGAAGCGCAGCAGAATCATGGCCACGAAGCCGAGAATCTCGCAAAAGGCCAGGTTCCGCCCGGGGCACAGGTGCCTCCCGCCGCCAAAGGGAAAGTAGGCCGTCTTCTTTTTGCGTTCTGCGTCGGACGTGCGAGTCGCGCCCGACTGCGCGAGGAAGCGCTCGGCGTCAAAGTCGGCCGCGTCGTCGCCCCAGATGCCGCGCTCGCCGTGCGTGACGCCCGCCGACATTTGAATGTCGACGCCCTTTTTCAGGATGTACGTCCGGCCGTCGGCGGCGGTGAGGGTTATGTCAGACATGGCGCGGCGCATGCTGACCGAGTGGTTGATGACGCGCATCGTCTCGCGGTAGCAGCTGACCATGAGGGGCAGCTGCTGGTCGAAGCTGGTAATGTCAAAGGTGACGGTCCCGGCGCCGGGCGCGTCGTCGCTGAAGGAGGCGGCGGCTTCGACCTCGGCGCGGAGCCGCGCGGCGAGGGACGGCCGGGACAGGACAAAGATGAGCATCCAGAAGAAGGTGGGGACGGCGTTGGTCGTCGCGACGACGGGCAGGATGCACTCGAGCTTGGCAATCTCGTGGCCGGTGAAGCCGTACTGGCGCAGCGTGGCGGCGCGGTTGGACGTCAGCGTCGAGGTGGTCGGGTCGTTGGCGTCGCGCTGCGCCTCGTAGTACACCCTCATGGTTTGCTGCAGCACCTCGCGCGACTGGTAGCCCTTGGGCATCGTGATGGAGGGGAACAGCGACAAGAGGAAAAGGGGGACGACCGTCTCAAAGGTCCTGCGTCGTGGGCGGTTAGCGCTGCGGCATCAGCACGGCGACGAGGCACACTCACCAGATGGCCTGAATCAGGGACGGGTCCTTGGCAAAGGGGTCGCTGTCGCCGTACAGCGCCTTGGTCGTCGCCATGCTCATGACGTCCCTGCACCAGAGGAACAGGTTGCCCACCTCGAGCGTGCCATCCGCAGCCCTGCTCTCGCGGCCGGCGTTGACGGGATCGACCTTGGCGGCGTCGACCACAGCGTCTAGCCTCGTCGAGATGCCCTCGAGGAAGTGGAGGTTCATCTGCGCCAGCGCCTTGGGGTGGAAGCTCCGGTGGATAGCATCCGTAAACTCGGGCACGAGCTGCGGCTGGCTGGTAATCTTTGCAAAGGTGGCGTTGGACAGGCCAAACGACTTTTGCGCGAAGCCGACGACAAAGGGCTCGAAGCTGGCGGCCTTTTGGCGCAGCGTGGCCTGGATCAGGTCCGGGTCGAAGATGGTGTAGAGCTTGCCGTTGAGCATGGGCACCGTCGCGAGCGGCACGTCGGGGCTGGTCCGGCGCAGCGCCGGGTGGAACTCGCCCTGCAGCCGGATGAGGTTGATGATGTGTCCGACAAAGGGGATGCTGGGCTTGAGCAGCGGAGGCTCCCGCGGGTCGAGCGAGGGCGTCAGGAGCCAGCTGAGGAGCGAGATGGCGAGGCCCGCGCCGAGGACGATGGCGGCGAAGAGCGTCGCCGTGCGTGGGGATGCGCCGAGTGCATGGTGCAGGATGCCTCCTGGGATGGCTTGATCAGACGGGGCGGCTCCGTCGACCGGATATGCAGACTCCATGGCGGTGTTGCTGGCCGCTAGGGACTCTCGCAGTCTTGCTTGTTGGCAGCTGAATTGGACGTTGCGTCGACGTCTACAGAGTCATTGCCGGAGTCAACTTGTTCGCTTCAGCTCTCTCCAGCTTCGTGAGGAGCGCCGTGACGAGACATGCAGAGCGACAGGGCTGCAGCAGCTCAACATTTATCATCCGGGGCTCGATTCGTGCCGTCCATGTCACGTCGAGGCGTGGCGGCTGACAGGGTTCCTTCGCGCCAGCCACACTTTGGATACCGATGAGCAGCGCCGTCAATTGGGCGAGGGGGTGCCGGCCGTGAGAATTTAGTAGCAAGTTGACCTCGTTTGATGCATGCTAAAACGTGAATTGCATTGGACCTGCCGCAGCTGCCTCGCTCTCGGCCTCGAGTCCACACCCAGGATATCGTCGCGGGCTTCGTCCCCGGCTTCAAGACGGCCACTGGCCCCAGCATCGACTTGGCCCAGCGACAACGTGCTGGTCGACATGGTGACCATTGTGCCTTGATGAGTCTTCTCACACCCTGCAAATGCAGGCCTGCAGTGAACCGCGCCATCCAAATCTGAGCGGCAGCCGCCAGTCGAGAAATTCTGCGGAGATGCCTGGCTCTGTCTGGTCGCCATGTGCCATTTCGAGGGAGAGCGTACCTAGTAGTCTGCGTTGTCCGCAGTGGGATGTTGGCGCTTGGCGGCGTACCCGTTCAACCGTTGCAAGCACACAGTGGGCGGCACAAGCCAAGGCGACAAAGTGGGGACATGTGACCTCGCGTTAAAGTGCCCGACCGCGTCGCGTCGCGTCTCGTCGCGCCATGCTTTGACGTGGGGTGTCACCGCTTCCGTCACCACACGACACACGCATATCTTCACTCCCAGCACGAATTGTTTCCCCTGCGCGAATCCAGGCCTGAATCGATATCGTGTACACTAGCCCACATCGACTGCTTGTTCGCAACATCGGGAATTGCCTTGCGCTCATGGACACACTTCCAAACCAGCTTCCCTCGTCTCTCCTCCGCCAGTCGCCCCCTCGACAAACGACATGATGATTAGCGCATCGCCAGATTACGCCATGTAGGGACCCTGCCGTGCTCAAGGTGAAAAACGCAGCCGCTGACGCGTCGCAGAACGAAGCCTCCGGGGATGGCGCACCACCTGTCGCGCAAGCGGGACAAGCCGTTGCGAACCTACGGCAAGAGGTCGACGGCGACGCCCGAGCCGCGAGGCGAGCCGCCGACGAAGAGGGCGCGGACCGACGGAAAGGAAGCGGAAACGGATGCGGTATCAGAACCATTGCCTGCGAGAGCGGATGAAGAAAGCGTCGCTAGCAATGATGCCGACGTGTCGCACAAGGAGCAGCCAGAGACAGATCGGAGGAAGCCCGCGTCCATCCTGAATTACTTTAAGCCGGTCCCTCGGCCCAAGGAAGCCGCATTACCAACTGCAGAGCCCGAGAGCACCATCTCAGAGCCATCTGCTGCGCAAAGCCGACCGAAGAGGAAGACTCGGCTGCTGCGGATCAGGGCCACATCCTCACCGTTGAGTGATGGCGTCGACGACAACGCAGATGCGCGCCCCCAAGTCAAGGACAGCGGCGGCAAGGGAAACAGTGATAAAGACGCCAATGCCGATGAAGGCGGTTCCAGGAGAGGCGAACCGTTGCACGATGGAGGCGAGAACCTCCTCAACCAAACCCGACCCGAGGGCGACGACGTCACCGCCAAAGGTGGCGGGCCGGCCAAGGCCAAGACGCCCACCGTGCAGACCACGCTCAACATCTCGGCGCAGGCGGCCTTTGCCGAGTGCAAGGTGTGCGACACGGTGTGGAATCCCCTGTACCCGGACGACGTCAAGTACCACGCGAAGCGCCATGCCGCGGTGGCCAAGGCCAAGAGGAAGAGAGACGATGAGCTTTAGATATGATTATGATACCCTCACGAAACGCCATTGTGCGCTGCAGACTCAATTTGCGGCTTGATGAACCATTCGCGTGTCTCCGTGCCGCTGACATGGCCCACAGCCAGAACACACCAATGCCTTGCCCTGAGTAGCTAGGTCGATTCACTGTGCGCCTGGAAGCTCTCACAGGCTCCTTTACAGCATGCTGCCTGAACTCGCCAGGTGGTTGCCCCGTCGGGGCGACTGAACAGACATGCGCCGGCCTGCCTGTTCACCACAAAGTCTCGTTCTCGCACCCTCACCCCCAGCAACGCACTTCTCCTCCTTCACACACCCGATCTCCGCGTTCCTCGCTCGTTCTCCCTGCTGCATCTGCGCACCACCTCCCGTCACGCATCGCCAAGCCACGCGAATGGGCCAAAACCAGTCTCACCTGTTTAGCCAGCTGCACAAACACCCCCACATGACCGGACGCGCCCAGCAGCACGACGAGGACGTGCAGGCGCAGGTGGCGAGGAAAATCGCCGAGCTGACGCAGGTTGAGCAGGCAAAGCAGGCGGACAAGGCTCGACCTGTGAAGGTGGCCGCGAACATCCCCGCCGCGGTCAAAAAGGCCGAGGGGGCCGACAAGACCAAAATGACTGAACCTACCAAACAGCCCGAACAAGTTCACAAGACCGCAGACACCAAAGCAGTCGCCAAGACCAAGGCAGACGACAAGGCCAAAGCGGTCGAGCCGGTGAGAGAACTCCAGCAGACCACGATCGCTCAGAAGATCGAGGAGAGCAAGCCGGTGAAGACGGCGAAGCCAGCCGCAGAGCGACAGAGCGAGGGAACCGTGCGACCTTGGGATTCCGGGTAAAACGAGTTGATTCAGCATACTAAAAAGAAGAAGCAGGTTCACCATCCTCAGCAGACGCAGACAGCTGCGCAGACCAAGGCGGCCGACAAGATCAAGACTCTCGAGCAAGTTGGGCACACCACCAACGTCCAGCAAACCAAGCCGACTGAAAAGGACAAGACGATCGAAAAGGCAAAGCAACCCGAGCCGACCAAATCCACCCAGAAGAGCGAGGAGATCAAGCCAGTTGAAGGGGCCAAGCCCATCTGGAAGAGCAAGTCGGTCGAAAAGGCCAAGGCCGAAGAGATGGCGGAGCCCACGCCCGTCAAGGCGACCAACCCCGAAGACATGAGCATCACTCAGCAGAACGAGCCCGTCGAGGAGAACGAGCTCGCAGAGCAGATCGAGCACCGCATCGACGACGCCAGCTTCCAGCTCATCCTCCAGCTGCAGCTCGACGACCTCGAGGCCCTCAAGGCCCGCGACAAGGGCAAGCAGCGCGAGGGAGAACCATCCGACATCGACGTCGCCCTCGGCCTCGCACAGGGGGACCTCCAAACGGCCATGACGCAGCAGCACGACCGCCAGATGTGCATCAGCATCGCCAAGGCCGTCTCCACGGACGCTGCGGCCATCCGCCGCGGCCCGATCGACCAGCTCCTCACCCAGTCGCTCGACCGCACCGTCGCCGCCCGCCCGCAGACGGACCCCGCGCCGCGCCGCGGCAACAGAGACGAGCACACGGGGCTCGACGCCGAGCTCATAGAGAGGCTCGAGGCGCTCAACGACTTTTCGGAGGGCGTCGTTGCGAGCTGCGGCGGCGAGCACGCTGCCTTTGCCACGGACGAATGGTCGGCAGCATACCCCCACGAGTCAGACAACGAATCGATTGTCTATGAATATCCTCCTGGCTGGCTGGACAAGTGCGAGTGCTGCCACGACAGCTTCTCGCCCTCCATCATGGCAACGGCGCCCTGCTCGCACAAGTACTGCCGCGCGTGCCTGAACGACCTCTTCCGCAGCGCCTCGGTCGACGAGTCCCTGTTCCCGCCGCGCTGCTGCAAGCGCCCCATTCCCGTCGACACGACCCTGCTCTCCACGGAGACGGTCGACATCTTTCGCGCCAAGGAGGAGGAGTTTTCCACCCCGAACCGCACCTACTGCCACCGCCCGCAGTGTTCGGCGTTTCTGCCCGCGCACTGCATCCAGGGCAACCTCGCGGCGTGCGGCAAGTGCAAGTTCAAGACGTGTGTCGCGTGCAAGGGCGCGCCGCACGTCAAGGGCGAGTGTCCCAAGGATGCCGCCACGCAGGAGGTCCTCCGCATGGCCAAGGAGCAGGGCTGGCAGCAGTGCAAGTCCTGCAAGCGCGTCGTCGAGCTCAACACGGGCTGCTACCACATGAGTACGTCGCCAGAGCAACCCCCCGTATCTATTCCCACCGCACGTGGTGGCAACGACCATGATTCTGACCGAGTAACAGCTTGTCTTTGCAAGGCCGAGTTCTGCTACCTCTGCGGCAGAAAGTGGAAGACGTGCCACTGCGCGCAGTGGGACGAACGCCGCCTCTTCAACCGCGCCGAGCAAATCGTCAACCGCGACGCTCGCTACGCCCAGCTCGGAGTCATGGAGCGCGCTCAGATGGTGAACCGCGCCGTGGCGGGCCTGCGCCAGAACCACGAATGTCGACACTACGACTGGCACTTCGTCAGAGGTCGCCACGAATGCGACGAGTGCCACGATGTCCTGCCCGAGTTCATCTTTACGTGCACCCGGTGCGACATTCGGGCGTGCAAGCGCTGCCGCTATAATCGCCTCTGAGCCAGTCGATGTAATGGCGTGGGGGGTCTTTGCTTTTGCGTCCCCAAGACGTCTCCAGAGGGAAAGGTATGGAGGGGAACTTGTATCGGTGTGTTTGAGGGAGGACATGTTGCTCGGTGTTTTGACTGAAGGGATAGCGTTTACGAGTTTGCTATGGTATGTACGGGCGGTAACATGGCATCCATTGGCGAGAACCTTGACTGGACTACCGGTTCTCATTCAGCGGCGCTCAGACTGCGATGGCGCACCTTGGCTGGGTGGGTGGTCGCCGTTGTATTGCGAGGCGGCGCAGAGAGACTTCACACTGTAGCATAGCAGTGCAGAGAGGCACGACAGACACTCCACTCTTCTATCAATCTGATTTGGACAAACGAAAGCAACATGCAAACGCCGTGCTCACGTAGTGTGCGATATCGTGTAGTCCATCACAATGCATTATAAACAAGGCCAGGCAGCCCAGAGCCTAGCCATAGCAGGGAGTCCATGCATCGCCAATCCAGCCAATATCACGTCTTGCAACGCGAGCGATTGAACTCTCCAAGGCTGGCCGGGCTGCCCTTTGTCCTCCAAAACGCCTGAACCTCCAAAACGCATGATGCGGCGAGCCGTCGCCAATCCACAGAGTGGACCCAAGCAGCGCCTCCATTCTCAGCGTCGACGCCTCACACCGGTATCACTGTCCGAAGACGTATTGTTCTTTGCGGCGTTGGCATTCTTCTCAAAGTCGTACAACGGACGGAGAGTGGCATGGCGCTGGAAAAGCACGTAGCGCTTGAAGAACCAGGGAATGGTGTCGGTGATCTGGTAGGCGGCAAACTTGCGGACGGGGACCGCAAAGACCCAGTCGAGCTCCTCCAGGGTGCGCTGCATGGTCTCGGGCACGAAGAAGAGGATCATGACGAACGCGACGACGTTGAAGCCGGCGTAGAGGCCAAACGCGCCGACGGTATCGAGCTGTCGGAGCAGGAAGGGGAATGTGGTTCCGAGAACGGCGGCCTGGCTCGTTAGCGTTGTACATCTGAGACGCCCGGGAGACTGCTTACCCAGAACAGGCAGTTGGCGACGGCGAAGCCCATGCCAGTCTCGCGGTGAGACAGCGGGTAGACTTCAGCGCTGTAGGTGTACGGAACAGGTCCTTCACCGGGGGAGTAGAACGCTGTGCGAGTTAGCAACGCCGTGGGACTTTGATACGCTGGGGTGCTCACCGCCGAAGAGGTAGACAAAGAGGCACACCAGACCCGTTCGGATCTCGTTGGGGTTCTCCTTGGTGCCCTGCGGGAGCAGAGTGCAAAGACCTGCAGCGAGGAGAGTCCAGAACATTTGCGGGAACGTAAACAGAAGCAGGCTGCGTCGGCCAAACTGCACGGCGTCAGTACATACAAGCGATGGGGGGCCAGAGCAGAGGAGCCTACAGTGTCAATGGTCCAAAAGGCCGGGAACGCAAAGAGCCAGTTGACCACGCCGAAACCAAAGGAGCCAATCATGGCCTTGCGGGCGTCGAGACCAGACTGCGTAAAGATGCTGGTCGAGTAGAAGGCAATGATGTTGATGCCGCACATCTGCTGGGCAATCATGACGGTAAAGGCGGCCAGGTTGGCGCGACGCACGCGGGGGATGGTGAAGAGCTGTCCGAAGCGCGTGGCGTAGTTGGTCTTGCCAACAATCTGCTTCTCGAGCTCGAGCTGGGCGCTGATGTAGTAGATGTCACGGGCGACCTGGATCGGGTGGTGGCGCAGGACCATCATCGACTGCCACGCGTCGAAGTAGCGGCCCTTCTTCATGTACCATCGAGGCGACTCGGGGCAGAAGAAGATGAGCGACAGCAGGGGCACGGCGGGCAGGAACGGAGCACCCAGCATGAGGCGCCAGTTGATGTTTGGGACAGCGTAAACGGCCAGGTTAAAGGCCGTGCCCATCATGATTCCGAACGCAGTCCACATCTCTGCAAGCAGTTAGAACACGAGCACACTGCCAGACCAAAGGGACACAAACGCCATGACATGACCAGGGCACCGCGAATGGCAGCGGGAGCGTTCTCAGCAGCGTAGATAGGCACGGTCGAAGCCTTTGCGCCCATGCCGACTCCCATGAGAAGGCGGCAGACCATTTGCTGGGGCCAAGTGCGGCAGAAAGCAGAACCAATGACGGGCCAGATGAGAAAGTTGCCGGCGAAGAAGATGGCACCGCGGCGACCGAGACGATTGTTGAGGGGATCAGCGAGCCAGCAGCCGAGAAGACTACACATGGTCAGTTCGAGGCCCCAAAGAATGTGATCGGCCGAGCAAAGGCCCATCGGGGTACTCACGCGCTGCCAATGTACGGACCGGCATTGAGGAGGCCGACAATGATGGCGTCAATGTCGCTTCCGGCTTCATCGAGGCCGTACGCGGCAGGGAAGAAAATGGTGGCACCGTTGCTGCCAGTCTGGTCCCATCCCTGGCATGCGGCACCGATGGAGCAGGTGGCAATGGTGAGGAAGAGGCGCTTGGGCATGTGCCACTTGTGCGTCCTCTCCTTCTCGAGGACCGCCAACTCCTCGCTGGTCAGACGCTCCGGGCCGTCGATGGACTCCACCTCATTGGGATTCTGGGCGACGAGAGCGCCCTTTCGGAGGACTTGGATGTGCTCCTGGAGGTTGTTTGCGACGGCAAAGGCCTCGACATCGCGCATGAGCTGATCACGAGGGATGCCTCCAAGGGGGTTGCGGACCCTGGAGCAGGTTAGTGACGCTGCTATGAAGCGCTGCGTTGAACTGCGTTGCTTTACCTGGCCTCGAGCTCGGTCTTGGACTCAATCTGCTCGGTGTGGCTAATGCCCTTTTCCTCGTACGGGTCACCGTGGCCGCCGTGGGCGCGACTAGGAAGAGCTGATCAGCAAAAGTCCAGTTGTTGTGAGTTTGCTGGGACCTCACGAGATGTCGGGCATGATGGGCAACGGCTGCGCTCTGCAGCGATATCACGCGCAAGTTGACAATCCTTGGGCAAGATGCGGGATCAGGCTGTATGGACGGCGCAGAGTGGTCGATGCAAAGCCTGCTGACGGGCAACGAGCCGGAGAGAATGAAGTGCAGGCCAAAGCGCAATCGAAGCAGAGAAGAAGAAAGAAGGCCGGACGATCGGAGTGGAGAGCGAGTGACTATATGTGTCAGGCTGGACCAGTGAATCAGGCCCCGAACCCGTCACCGCAGCACGTCTAGAGCACCACCAAGGCCAACAATGCACTCAAGTAAGGGCCAGCCAGGGACCCTCTCGCGGCTGTCGTTTCTCGCCCCGGATGGGGACACGGCCGCTAAAATTCAGCCGACACGAGTTTCGTCCGGATGCGTAGCAAACGGATTTTTAGTCGTAGGCCTCGAACAGGCCCTACGCCTCAGGACCCAAAGGCGACCCAGAGAAGGTGTACTCCCCAGTCGAGGCGGACCCCGGACCCCCCACACCCCGGCACGGCTCCCCAAACGCCACGACACAAGGCGGCCAGTGAGCGTTCAAGCAACCAACGAAACCGGCAAGTCGCAGCTGCGCCAAGGATGCTGAGCATGTGGAGCCCCAGTAGTGGCCCTGCATCCATGACATGCGCGGCATGGATTGCTTCGCACACCGAGGGTCTGCCGCCCGCCCCTGGGCGCCGAACCCGCCAAGCAGCGGTAAAGTGCTTGTCATCGGCAGTTTCCAGCTTCGGGCCGATGAGGTTCCCATACGCGAGAACCGTTGAGCTGGCCACCGGCATCAGTTCCGTCCCCGCCGTGCTTGCAAGACGAGGTGTTTGGGCGACGGCTGCGATGACGCGAGGCCACAATGGCCGCTCAATGCCGCCGCTTGCGAGCAACGCAACAAGGTATTGTGCGACTCAGCTGACTGTCCGCAAATCGCTAGGCGCGAGGATGCCGGCGAGAAAGGTTGTTGACGAACTATGTATGTCGTGGCGGATCTGACAGGCGCCAACCTACCGCAACGCGGACGGATCCGGCTGTTTCACCCAGCCCCAATAAAGACAACCAGCGATAATGATGACCGACTTCTCCAGATCGAGCCACGTGCCAAGAGTCTCTGGGGAACCGGGTACTCCAAGATGTTGTCTCACCGAGCCCTGCGTTCGCGGAGCAGTCCGGCTCGCGGACGGAATGAGCGCGGCGAGCACAAGCTGAGACACCCTGGACGGAAGCACTGGCACGCATCGCGCAGTGCTCGTGGTCGGCCCGCCAGTGGCACGGCTGCTGTTGGTTTCGGCCTGCACCGACACCTGACACCTGGAGGTAGTCGTCGGTGAGACAACAGCCCGGAGAGCTCACCGTGGCGTCGCCCACGGTGCCAAGCCACCGAAGCCGTAACTTTCGCGATGAAAGGGCAACCTTGTCAAGATGCACAACTGCATGCGGGCACTGCAATAGCCTTTCGTACAAACTGATGCTTCGCTTGCTTTGGACGTGGAAGCGTCTGGACCAAGCACGAGCAAGCGGGGCACGAGGCCATGAACCGTCGGGCCCGACTCGTCCTGTACACCAGCGTATGACTGCGCCTCAGCCGGGTGCTATCGGCGCCATCTTGCTGCCTGCTCGAATACGCGAAACGTCGTGCGAGCGCTCACATGAACCTGCCCCTGTCAGTGCACTGCACCGTCACGCAACCAGGTGGAGCCTGCAGCATCCTGCTGCTACTTCCCGCTGCCAGGGCATGGCACTTGGGCGCCACGACGGGCGCCGCTGTTGCTGTTGCAGTCGCTGCTGCTAATTTTAGGCCGAGACAGACTGCCGATGTGGCTGCTTTCGTCAACGGCGGCTGTCGAATCTTGACGGTAGTGAGGCAAAGCCGCCGGAGTCCGGACAACAGTCGGGCCAAACAGCCCTGGTCGAGCAACGGCGTGGAAAGTGAGAGGGTATCGCGACGGGGCGTGTCTTTTGGAGAGAGAAAATCTGAAAGGACACGAAAGCTGAAGCGAGGCGAGTGGCGGTGGAGGGCAAGTGTGAAGCCCGTGCCTTCCTTGCGCGCTGGGTAGACGTGGCACGTGCTGGCACGCTCCTTGGATGCACCTGCCGCCACCACCGGCATCCGGCACCTACAGTGTTCAGAGGTGTCAGGCAAGGCTCAGGCGCAATTTCTCTTACAAAGTTTTACAAAGAGAAAGAATTTTGTCCTTGAAGCACCGGACTGCGAGTCGGCAGTGCCTCAAGCTAACTGGCAAGGTTGACGATGCCTAACGAAGTGGCCTCGAGTGCTCTTCATTTCTCGTGAAGCTCGGCTTCATTCACTGTCGCTCGACGCCGCCAAATTGCAGGTGCCTTAGAGACTCGGAACTTGGATACCAGCTCGGCTTTTTCAATGCTGGTTTGCGCCGATTTACCTGCTCCTCGCCCTGTTCTTCTGCCCTTGGCATCCTCCCCACTTTGGACTCCTGACCGCGACGGTGGCGATACCCCAGGGACCTCTCGCTGATTGGAACAGGTCAGCCTTCTGAGCAATAGTTGAAACAGCCTCTATCATAGAGACTCATCTGTGTCGTTTCTGGCCAAAAGCCCGCCCTCGGAAACAATGCGTCGGGCAACTTGCCTGAGTCGCGCGGAAGCCCATCCTTGGTGGCCGCTCGCGGATGAAGACTGAAAACTCAGCAAGAGGGCCTGCGCTCCTGTAGGCGGGCACAGCACAGCCGCTATGCGGTCTGGCCCTTTACTCCGTTGTGTTCTCGAGTCTTCTGTGGCGTGCGCACTGCTCTTCACCGTGAGCTCGGGCGCAGGCTCGGAACATCGGGGCAGCGAGGCAGTCGCTCTGACTGGCTAGGACTACAAATCATGACCAAATTCGCTCACTCTCGGACGCAGCAGCGAGGGCCGCGGAGGCTGCCTGAATGGCACACCGCGATCATCCTTCCATGCAAGTCATTCAGCCACTGCCGTCTCAGTGCCAGCCTCGCTCGCCCGGCCAGGTGTTGCGGCAGAGAGCAAGTCGGAATGCGAGTGAAGCTTGGGAGTAACTATTCCGACGCCTGAAACGGGCCGGTCAATACGAGCCAGACAAAATGGTCGTCTTGGGGTGCCCAGGTGCGTGAGTCACTTCCTGGCGACATGAACTCGGAGAACAGAATCTGCAAGATGAAGAGGAAACCCGGACAACATTGGTTCGCACTCTCACGATAGACACAACTGCCATTCTACAAACGAAAATCTTAACCTTGTCGTCAAGCAACAAATAGCAAATGATGGCTCGTCCCACCAAGCAACTGCGTGTCAACCCCGCCGCCAACGTCTTCATCCTCACCCATTGGGTTGCCGGCCGCCATCAGTCCTTGCAAAACCAGAGGCACACCACGGGCTTCTCGCCCGCGCGGCCCGTCCGCGACGAGTCCCATCCCACCTCGCCAATCGTCTTCTTCATGGCGCCCTTGTCGCCGCCATTAATCTCCATGCCCTTGTACCACTTGCCGCCGCCGCCGCCCACAATCTCAAAGACGCGGTTCTTCTTGGCCGACGGGTTCGTGCAGCCGAAGCCCTGCATGAGATCGGCAAACGTAGTGTTGCACGGAATGTGCGTCGCCATGAACGGAATCTGCGTGTTTCCCGGCAGCTGCCACGGCGGCGTCGCCGACTTGAACACGTGCGCCTTGGTGTGCGTCGCGGGGAAAAAGTAGTTGTAGCCCGGCTCGCAGCCCACGCCGCCCGTCGAGTTGGTCATCTGGGACGCCGGCATGGCCGGGTCGATGCGCGGCCAGGGCTGCGCCTGGCGCGGCTGCATGCTGCCCGCGCCGTTGGGCTGTGGGGGGAACGGGAGGAAGGGGGGAGGAGGCGGCATCGGCTGCGCGCCGCCGTACATGCCCTGCGCGGGATACACGCCCGGAGGAGCGGCAACGGCCCCGCCGCCTAGGTGGTAGAAGCCGTAAGCCATGTTAGCCCATTGGTTGTACGGAGGCACTATACCAGGGAGGTTGAAGCCGGGGCCGCCCGAGTGGAAGATGTAGGGTTCGCCCTGCGCGGGCATCGGGGCCCCATACGGCGCGAAAGGCGGACGGGCGGCGCCGGTGCCGCTGCTGGCGGGGGCGGCGTCGCGGCCGGTGAGCGGGTTCCAGCCTCCGGTCATGATGGGCGGCAGAGGAGCTCAGAAGGGAAACGGCTGCCAGGTATGCACCCAGCGGTTGGCGACGTGGTCGTAAGATGCTTGCCAGTGGCCGGGGACAGGTCCTTGGCGTGTCGGATCCCAGGTCGTCGGGGGGTCGATGTACTGGACGTGGGCTGGCTGGAAGGCCGGCGTCGGTTGCGTCTCTGCAGGCCAGAAGAATGATGCTGGCAGAGATTCTGCAGACTGGTGGACAGAGCGAGGTTGACCGCAAGCCTCAAGGTCCGGCGTCCGAGAGATTTCTGCCTCTTATAGTCAGTTGACTGCCGTGACTCAGAACTTTGATGTCGGACAGGGCAGGGGCTGCGATCCACGCAGCGGACGGGCGGGAATCAGTGATGAGGACACAAACCTGGCGTGACAGAGGCAGCTTCGTCACTGCTGAGCAACGTGTTCTCGCCGCCAATGCCCCTGATGGTTCCGCGTCCGGGACGCAGGAGGAACGAGGGGCTTGGCGAGCGTGCAAAGTGCTCAACTGCCAAGGCTGCTTCCTCACTGCTGCTCTCGCTAGAGTCGTCGTCGTCGTCGGACTCGAGCTGGATGTCGAGGTGCGCGACAAACACTTCGGAGCTCCAGACGATGCGATCCTCGCTGTCGAAGAAGGCACCCACGATGATCAGCGCCCAGTACGGCGGGTCCTGGCTTGTCTCCAGATACTGGGTGACGACGAAGCGGGTGGCAGGGGCGGGGAGAAAGTCTTGTCCAACCTCTATCGTTCTCGTATAAACGGGAGGCAGGCGAGAAGGCATAGAGGTGATCCAGATGGGTATGCCCTACTCAAGAATGTAAGCTGTCCACGGAGAGGAGAGGAACAAGACAGGGCGAGGAGCCGCGTCCGGATCGGAGACTATTTGTACGGAACCATGATCAGGCCAAGGACGGCGGCTACGCAGCGCAGTGTGTCGAGGACAGCGTCTCAGTTTGGTCCCAACTGGACGGTAAAGTGAGCTGACCGCACCTCCAAGTTCACCGCCGACACCATCACGCGGTCACTACTTTGGACTGTCGAGCATGGCGAGCGTGTGACTCCCCACAGATCAATCCGATCCGCCATTATAACATATCCAGAGTTGAGACGAACCTGGCCTGGATACGACTGGCCTTGAGCCATTGACATGACAAAGACCTGATCTCGCGTCTTGGAAACCATCCCGTCCAACCACGCCACCGAGGCAAGTGGCGTCATGAAGAAGCGAGGCAGGGCGAGGGACCGGGAGCGAAACTGAAGCCAGATGCCATGCCAGTGATATTTCGCAGCCACCTTCAACATCAAGTATGTAGACGACCAGAGACGTTTGTAAATGGACGATCCGACTCATTTCTGCAATGAAAAGCAGGGTAGATGTGACGCTAAGCAGACAAATTCCATCGCGAGGCCGCTTGCTTGCATTCCTCAATCATCGTCACTGTCGTCGGGCACAACGCGCACAAAGCCCGCCTTCTTGGACACCTCGGCCTCCTTCTTCAGCTGGTGCCGCCTCTCCACCTCGCTGACCAGGCCCTTGAGGTACACCTCGGCCTGGACGGTCGCGCTGTAGGCCGCAGGGGTCCAGTTCCAAATGTTGCGCCGCTCGACGTCCGCGCCGGCGGCCAGCAGGGTGCGCAGCCCCAAGAGGTTGCCGTTGCTGCTCGCGAAATGCAGCGCCGTGTTGCCCTCCTTGTCGGCGCGCTGCACGGCCTCAAAGGGCCCGCCGGGGACGTAGGTCAGCAGCAGCTGCAGGATGGTGTCGTGGCCGCCCATGCTGGCCTCCATGATGGCATCGCGGCCGCGCACGTCGCGGCGCAGGATGCTGTCGGGGTCGCTCTCGCAGAGCAGGTGCACGACGTCGGTGTGGCCGGCGCCGGCGGCCAGCATGAGGGCCGTCTGGTGGTTGTCGTTGAGGGCGGGGCAGGGCTCCTCGTGGCCGGCACGGAGGAGCACCTCGCAGATGTCGCGGTGGCCGAGGGACGCGGCCAGGTGCAGGTTCGAGTTGGAGAGGCCCATGAGGGACGTGTCGGGGTTGTGCAGGATCGACGGGTTGGACTTGAGGATGCGTTGGACGAGCAGCGCGTCGCCGGCGTGGATGGCGCGCCGCACCCGAATCGAGGGATCGATCCTGCGGGGGGTTAGCGAGGGCCGCCCTGCGATGCACGGTCCTGTAGAAGAACTCACATGGCGGGCGACGGGCTTGCATGGCGCAAGGCGATCCTTGCCGTCAAACAGCACGCGGGTTGAGGAGGACGGGAGACGCGTTTGGGAGAGGCGGTGACGTTGCCGTTGGCCGAGCCACGTGTGGTGCTGCTGCCCCTCACGAGCTCGCAGCCTGGAACAGCCCCTATCCCGCAGGGGCTGGAACAGAGCCGCTGGGTGCACCCCGGTGTGCGCGACCGTTCGATTTCCGCCATGCAACCGACTCGGGGTCTTCTCCATGTAACTGACTTGGAATTTTCGACATCGGGACTTTCGACATGTAGCTGAGCAAATGCACAAGTTTCATTGACGCTATAACCTTGGGTCTTTGAAGTCGCTGTGATGCAGTGAATGCACCGCCTCGCTATGGACTATGGATACTTCAGAACGGGGATCCTTGGCGTCCGCCGACCTCCGCCCATGTCGCCATTAGACACTCTGCGCCCTTTGCGGCACTGCCATGCTTCGTAGAATCCACTGAAGGGTCTGGTGGGTGTTGCGAGTCGTGGGATGATGGGGCCCCAAGACCTGGCTGTTGAACGTGTGGCATTGCTCCAACAAGTCCTTTGCGTCCTTAAGTCTTCCGGCGTGATAGTACTCCACAGCCAAACCGTTCATGAGGGGAAGAGGCATAGGCGTGGTCCACTGGCCGGATTCCAGCCAAGCGCGTTTTGTCGCCTCGAGCATCGCCTGGGCCTCGAGGCGGCGACCAGACCTTGTCCAGGTCATGGCCATGTTGGCGATGCACGTGATGGACGTGTCGTGCAGCCGGCCCAGGTGCGTCCTGGCGAGGGCCATGGCCTTTGACTGCCAACGCAACGCCTTGCCCCGTTGGCCCATGTCACGGTAGTCCGAGCCAAGCAGGGTCATTGACATGATGGTGTCTATGTGGGCCTCGCCGAGGACGCGGGTGCGCACATCAACGACTTTATCGTGCAGCTCAGCAGCGTCTTCAAGGTATCCAGCGTCGGCGTACATGGAAGCCAGATCGTTCACCCTGGTCAACGTCGAGGGCGCCTCTGCACCGTCTGCCTGAAAGAGAATGGCCACGGCCTCCTCCTGTAGGTCCAGAGATTCGTCCGTCTCCCCTAGCCCTCTGAGGTCGAGGGCCAGATTGTGGAGGCTCTTGGCGATGCTGCTATGGTCATTGCCGAAAAGCTCTCTTCGCTTGGCGAGGACGACAGTGTCGAGCTCCTTGGCTTCTCTGAAGCGCCTTTGGCGTCGGTAGTTGTGGCCGAGCATGGCCTTCAACTCCAGCACCAGAATACCGTCTGGGCCGTAGCGTAGCGCATTGGCGGCGATGGCCAGCTGGATCCGGCGATTGGACTCGTCCTATCGGCCATCGTTGAAGAGGGTGTCCAGGGTCGATACAAAATCGTCAAATGCCTGCACGGAGCCCATGATGATGAGTGCGGAGCCTGGTAACGATGACGATGCAGTATGCAGATGCTCGTGGAGATGAAGGCAGCAAACGGGCGGTTGTGCAGACAAGAAGGCGAACAGGCTGTAATTATCCATGGCCACAGCTGGCGCCATGGCAGAGGGGGCGGCCAGTGCGATGGAATCCGACAGTGGGGTGCTCCTGCCGCCACAGGCCGTACGCAACGATTCTTCAGCGACGGGACCCACGGGCTTGGCCGTCACACAATTCCTCTCTCAGCGAGCTTCCTAAGCACGATATACGGAATACGGTATACGAGACAATATGGCCATGAACCCATGGCACCGACGTGTTCTTCGCCTGGAATCATCGGCACGCTTTTGGAAGCAATTGAAGCGTCAGCCAGTCGCCTCTCCCTCACCCGGAAATGGAGTCAGAAAGAGACGACGTCGCTGCTGGCGAGCCGCATCGCCCCTCGGGCGACCTGCGCAGCATGTGGCCACGTCCGCAGGCACGCGAGAACGAAGCTGTGCACATTGACGGGGTGCGCAACTTTCTTGACGAGGCCGAAACCAAGATCAATGCCGGCAACGCCGCCGCCGCAGCCAACGACTTGCGGCTGGCTCTGAAATATCCGTCTGAAATCAACGACTTTGCCGACGTCTTTGCCCACGCGCTGTCGCTCATCTCACGCATCAAGCACCAGTTCATCGCCAACGAGGACAAACTCCACGTGGCCCAGCAGGCCGCTGAGATGCCCGACAGCCCAGGGGCGCTATATCACCTGGCGTACCAGCTCGTGGAGACGGGCGACAACGGCGCGGCTGCTACAGTCTTTTCACGGGCCCTCACCCTCGCGCCGGAGAACGCCACGCTTGTGGAAGAGCTCGTGTCGTCTCTGGAGCGAGACAGCAACTACGAGGCGGCTCTCCCGTACCTGCGCAGTCGGCTAGACCAGGTGGAGGGCAACTTTTACCTCGCCTACCAATTGGCGTGGCTCTCGATCCTCTGTGGCGACCTGGAGCCGGCAAGACGCCTACATCCGTTCCTCTCGCGAGAGCGCGGCGACGATGCGGGGCGCACGTTTCTTGAGAGCCGCATCAGCGCGGTGCTGCAGCGCGCAGACGCGGTCAAAGACGTGTCTACGCTGGACAAGAGGGACCTGCGCGGCTGGAACTATGTCCTGAACGGCGGGATACTGCTTCACGTCTCCCCTGACGGCTTCGACGAGGGCATGAACGGGCGGTATTCGTGGGTCCACGACTCGGACGAGCTGTGCCTGGAGGGCATTCGCCGTCTCGCATGCATTCTGAAGCAGCAAGACATTGTCGTGCCTCGAATCATTGCCATGTCTGACCAAAAAAGCTTCATACTCGGCAAAGCGCTCGCCACGATTCTGGGCTGTCAAGAAATCATCATGTGGCCCTGGGAAGGCACCAATCTACCCGGCATCGTGGTTGCGTACGATCTGGACCTCATGACTGACGAAATCAACTACCCGCTGCGACACCGGCACCCCGGTCAGTATCTGTGGGCGCACGCCATGTGCTGGACGTCGCCGGAGCCGTGCGTCCCGGCTCCAGACTTTGTCACGTTTCTGTACCAGACCCGGCTGTTCCCATGGATCGCCCGCTGCAAGGTCGGCGAGGAGGCACAGGCGCAGTGGGACGCTCAGAGGGACGAGTCGCAGACGGCGCATGCATCAACAATGTACGCCTTGGCTGCGAGGTTGGTCAAGGCCGACGTGCCTTTAGATGGGCTAGACGGTATGGACCACATCCTCGCCATATCAAGAGCGAGCGGCCTGGGCAGAGAGATGGACGGCGACGAAGCGGCGAAGCAGTTTGATACTCGCCAGATGCAATGGCCTCGCTCGCCCGTCCCTGGAAATATCTGGACGGCGACGACGACGGACGTTGGCGTGGCGGGCAATTCATGGTGAAGAATCAAAGAGCATGGCCAGGACCGGGTCATCGCCACATTGACCACATCGATCGCGTTGCACTTTGGATATCTCTGTGCAATCTACTCATCAGCCTAGCACGCCCTTTCGCGAATAGTGGTGCGCGTGCCACGGTACCACTGAGACCACACGTTGAGCCTCGAGCGAATGCATCATTACCTGGGCGAACGCACGGAAAGCGGCACGATTCAGACACGCAAGTGCCGCGAGAATCCTGATATGAACCTGCATCTTTTCGCATTTTACGAGTCTTGATCGACAGAGACAGACATCTGGCTCTTAGATGCTAGGTCCGCGTCGCGCGACCACCTCCGCAAGCCCAAGACCCAGACGCAAACCTCAGAAGCAAACCAAACCAAACCTAGACGCCGAGGATACATCACATCAAATTCAAACACCGAATGGCGCCAGCCTGCCGCTCCAGCCCAGTCTAGTCGTTGAGCTCGTGCGCAGACTTGATGGCCTTGGACTTGCCCGTGTCCAGCACCACGGCCGGGTCCTCGGGGTCGCCGTCGCGAGAGACTTCGTTGCCGCGCTTAGTCGTGATGGTCGTCCTGGTGGTCAAGTCAGTTCGCTGAACTGGTACATCGGTGGGAATACTCACTTTTCGTCCTTGACATCCAGGACCTTGCCCTCGGGTTGGCCGTTGCCCCAGTTCCAGCTCACGGTTTCGCCCACCTCGGGGCCGTTCTCGGCTCCCTTGCCGCCGCTCTTCTTCTCGTCGCTCTTATCCCCAGAGGTCTTCTTGGCCTCGCCGTCGGCCCTGGACTCATCCTCGTCTCCGTCCTTGTCGTTCTCCTTGTTGCCCTTGGCCTTGTCGTCGCTGTTGGTGGACTCACCCTTTTCGGTCTCGCGCTTCTTGTTTGGCCCCGAATCATTCTTGTCCTCTTCTTCCTTGTCCGCGGGCGCCTTGCGCTTGTCTCCGGCCTGCTTGTCGTCGTCCTTGTCCTCCTCGCCCCCGTCGTCCTTGGAGCCGCCGGTGGACTTGCTGTTGCCCTGCCGCTTCTTGAGCGGGTCGTGGCCCCAGTTCTTGAGAGACGCGTACGACTTGGTCTTTTTGACCTCGTCGGCCGACTTTTCATCGTTGGCCTTTTCCTCCTGCGCGAGGTGTCGCTTGCTGCACGGTTCGCACGTTAGCCTGCGGCTCATGAACACGCTCCAACCCCCCTGATCATCCGTTCGCAGTGTACTGTGCACACACCATGCAACACAACATGACTGCACTTACCAGTACGAGACCACCTTGCGCATGTGCTGAATCTGGTCGTCGGTGTACTTGTCGGGCTCCTTGTCCGGGTTCGCCTTGAGAATCTCGACAATCTGGCGCCCGCTGTCGTGCCCGACCGACTCGCCGTCGGCGTCGCCGCTCTCGTCCTTGGGCCACCCGGCGCTCTGCGAGTCGTCCGACTTGAGCCACTTTTCGAGCTCCTGGGCCGTCATGTTGACGACCTCGTTGAACTCTTCGATGACGGTGTTGTTGTCCTTCATTTTGGCTTCTGTTTGATTGAGCTTTGGGATCAGGGGTAGTCAGGACTTCAAAGCTGGCGCGGATCACGGGCAATTGATGAACAGATCAAGCTTCAGACGTCGGCGCAGGCGCCGCTCCTCCTTCGGCCGGACGCGTTTTATTTATTTACATGCGGCTGGGCGCTGGGGAACGCCGATAGCCTTTCCCGTCGTGTGAGCTGCATCCCGATTCATCCTCAGAGTGGTGACGTTTCCGGGAGGAGCCAATTGTCTCACGTCATAGAAGCGGCCACACCACGCCGTCGCCGTTCCTGGCGCTGGGTGAGACACGGTCGGCGCCAACGCGCTGGAAACGGGTCCCTCGATGCGCCGTCCAAAAGCTTGATCCAGAGCCTTGCCAGATCTGGCGCCTGCCATGCCCAGATCTCGCGACGCGGGCCATTGTTCACGCCGCGCTACGGAGCTTGGTCCGGATCCCCACGATTCACAAACGGGTGACAGACAGTTGCAGTGGGCCACGCGGACCGCGATTTGCGAGAACGATTTGCTTTTTATTGCTGCAGGGCAGTGAATGTTCTACAGTCCTACTTGCCGCCCTGCTTGTCCTTGGCCTTCTTGTCCCTCCAGCGCGCCCTCATCAGCTTGAGCAGCAGCCATGCCAGCAGGCGGTACACGACGACGCAGGCCGCCATGGCCGCCACGTTGACGACCGGGTCCTCGTCAAACTTGTACAGCGACAGGACCTCCTCGCCCGTGTAGATGGGACAGCTCCCGTCGGGCAGGCGCTGCGCGGCCGTGCACGTAAACTTGACGCCGCGGAGCGAGTACGGCGCCACGGCACGCGTCGCGTAGCGGATCGGCGAGAGGTAGTTGACGGCGCGGAACAGCGGCGGCATGTCGATGGACAGGACGCCGGCCATGCCGTTGGCCACGGACAGGAAGATGCCCATGATGTTGACGGCGAAGCCCGTGTGCCCAAACAGCGTGTTGAACATGATGCCCAGGCTCTCGCCGCACGACACCACGCCGAAGCAGGCAAAGACGCACACAAAGTACATGGTCGCCGTGCGCGGCAGGCCCACCGCGATGGCGGCCAGCACGCCGAACACGAGGCAGCTGAGGATCTCAAACGGCACCTCGAGGATGGTGTAGCTCGCGAGGAACGCGTCCACGCCGTACACGCCGTCGTCGTCCTCGCGGTAAAACACGTCCCGCTCGCTCGGGTACACGGCCACGTTTTGCAGCATGCCCACAAAGTAAAAGGCGCCCAGCTCCTGCACGAAGCCCATGCGGTTCTGCACCGAGTAGAAGTCGTTGCCCAGCGGCGCGAAGAAGAGCGCAAATACCGCCGCCAGACCCACCACCTGCATCGTCCGCGCGAGGACCAGCTGCGGCTGCCGGCGCGTGTTGATGGCCGCGCGGCGCAGGAGCAGCGGCAGCGCGACGTGCAAGGGGGCGCGCTTGCGGACGAGGGCGCCCAGCTCGGCGGGCGTGGAGAGGCTGGCCTTGTTGAACGACCGACGGGGGGATGCCGGCTTGTTGGGTCTGACGGTGTCGTCGAGCATGGCAGGTGCCTTTTCGCCCGTTTCCAGCGCCGGCGATGGCTTCTCGTCCGGCTCCTCCGCCTCCTGAATCTCAGGCAGACGCTCAACAATCTTCTCTGCCGGCCCCTCGCCCGCGCCTTCGTTCCACTGCGCAATCAGCTTCTGCACGCGCTCGCGGCTCTCTGCCTCGCGGTCGTCCTGCTGCAGGTCGATGGTGATCATGTCGAGCGCAAAGTCGGCCGGGTTCGTGTGCGTCGGGCATTCATATCCGAACCGCCCAAAGTAGGGCAGCATGTCGCGCGCCGGACCTGCGTAGACGGGCGCACCCCCGCGCGCCAGGAGCAGCACGTTTCCGAAATGCTTAAAGAGATCCGACCGCGCCTGGTGGATCGTCAGGATGAGCGTGCGCCCTTCGTTGGCGAGTCCCTGCAGCACCTCCATGATGGAGCTCGCGGTGAAGGCGTCGAGGCCCGAGGTCGGCTCGTCGAGCAGCAGTATGCGCGGGTCCGTAAGAACCTGCACGGCGATGGATACGCGGCGCTTCTCACCCCCTGATATGCCCTTGATCATGTCGCTGCCGATGAGGTTGTTGGCGCAGTCCTTGAGGCCCATCTTGAGGAGCACCTCTTCCGCGCGACGATACTTTTCCTCGCTACTCATGAAAGATGGCAACCGCAGGCCGGCAGCGAAGCGCAGCGTCTCGCGGACCGTCAGCGACGGGAGCAGCGCGTCGTCGTCTTGGCACACGTAAGAGCACACGGAGCGGATGACCGAGTCGGAGGGCACGGCGCCGTTAAACGACAGCTTGCCCGAGGGGCGGTACTTGGTGCCGATGGAGTTGCGCAGCCGCAGGGCCATGGCGTTGAGCAGCGACGTCTTGCCGCTGCCCGACGGGCCCATGATGACATTCAGCACGCCAGCTTGGAACGTCGCGTCCACGGGCTCGAGGATCGTCTTGCGCGGGAGCCTCTTGCCGGAGACGGCGCGCTTGTCCAGCGCGAGCGCAAAGCCGTCGAGGCCGAGGTCGATGGCGCGCACCTCGGCGATGGACCGCGCCGTCATCTTCTCCTTGCCGGCCGACAGATCCGTGTCCGACGAGCGGGAGCGGGCAATCGTCATCTCGACCTTGAGGAAGCGCAGCCCCAGCGCGGACATGGCGCAGAACAAGACGACGAAGCACACGAGGATGATGATGGGCCGCGCGACCCAGTCGGTCGGGAAGCCGAGCGATTCCATGACGTACTCGCCCGTGTACTGCGTGCAAGCCGGGTTCGCCGGCCCGCCGGGCTCGGGGCAGTCGTAGAAGCTGCCCTGGAACTCGTTGCCGGCGTAGGCCCCAAAGGCGTAGAACTGTGTTTGTCAGATGCATGCCATCGAGGTACTGGCGCAAAAGGTGTTGACATACTGTATAAGTGATCCATTTCAGCCACCGAACGTACACTGGTATCGTGTTGACCTGGATAAACATGCCGCACGCAATGCTCTGCAGCGTGTACACGAGGTTCGCGATGAGACTGGCCCCGGCAAAGTGCCTCACGGCCGTGACGCAGACCATGGCGCACGTCACGGCGACGTACTGGTTCACGAGCGTCACCGCGAAAAAGACAAAGAACTTCCTCACGTCGCGGTCGAAGCCGGCCATAAAGTACACGAGGACGGCGAAGAGGAACGGCACGGGCACGTCCTCGGTCGGCAAGCGGGCGAGCCGGCGCGAGAGCACAAAGGGAAGCGAGTCGACGCAGCCCTCGGACGACTCGCGGTCAAAGGTGGGAATGTCAATCGTCATGCGGTAGACTTCGAAGATGAGGATGAGGTAGCCCTGCAGCCCGGCGGCGGTGTAAAGGCCGCCCTCGCGGGAGCGGATGCCTGCCTGGTCGCGCCCGAGGTCGAAGAAGAGGTACCCCGTCACGATGCCCATGAGGATGGCCTCCATGATGGACGCCGCCATGCCCAGCGGGTCGCGGTACGTCACCTTGAGCGTCCGGTCCGTCAGGACGCGCACTTGTCGCCCGAAGCTGGCGTGCTTTTCCGCGTCCGACTTGCGCCTGCGGTGTCCACGATCAGCCGCCGCGGGCAACGGCTCGAAGCGGTGCGCGCTCTCCTCCCGCCATGCCGCCTTAAGGGCCTCGACCCGTGCGCTGCTCTCCTGCTCCAGCTCTGGCGTGCGGTTGTCGACCGCCGCAATGTCAATGACGTGCTCCGCCGGGTTGACAAACGGCGGCAGAGGAAACCCCTGCCCGCGAAACCAGGGGAGGCAGTCCGGGATGGAGCCCGAGTACACGGGACACCCGCGCGACAGCACGATGAGGTTGTCAAAGAGATCCCAGATCTCAGAGCGCGGCTGGTGGATCGTGGTGATGACGGTGCGCCCCTTGCGCGCGAGCGCCTTGAGCGTGCGCACCAGCTGAAACGCGCTCGTGGCATCGAGCCCCGTCGTCGGCTCGTCGAGGAACAGCACCGACGGGTTGGCCAGCAGCTGGACGCCGATGCTGACGCGACGCTTCTCGCCGCCGGAGCACCCGCGGTGCTGCGTGTTGCCGATGCGCGTGTCGGCGCACTCCTTGAGGCCCAGCTCGCGGATGACCTCGTCGACGACGCGGTGGCGGTCACGCGCCGACGTGGACGGCGGGAGGCGCAGGTCGGCCGAGTACTGCAGCGTCTCGCGGACCGTCAGCGTGGGCAGCAGGACGTCCTGCTGCATGACGTATGCGTGTCGCACGCCGTGCACGCCGGGCACGCCGTTGAAGGTCGTGACGCCGGCCTCGCTGAGGCGCGAGCTGCTCACCCGCTCGGCCATGGTGTTGAGCAGCGTCGTCTTGCCGGACCCGCTGCCGCCGATGATGGCCGTGAGGGTGCCGGGCTGGAGGTCGGCGTCGACGGCGTGCAGCAGGCCCTTGATGCGCGGCGTCGTCTTGAAGCCGCCAGCGAACAGCTCCGGGTAGGTGGTCGGCTCGAGCCATGACGGCGACGTGTTGACCGAGACGGAGAGGCTGCGGATGCGCACCTCGACGGCCTCGACGTCGGCGAGCGAGAGGTTGCCGGCGCCGGAGAGGGAGAAGCGACGTTCGTCGCCGCGCTTGCCGTTGCCGTTGCCATTGCCGTTGTCTGCGGTGACCGACGTGTCGATGGAGCTGGCCCGGTCCGTCTTGTCGTTGTCGGATCCGCCGGGCATGCCGTCGCTGGACACGCCGTCGCCGTTGGTGGTGGCCATGCCGCCACTATGCGTGTCCCGTCGGCGTTTGAAGTGTGGTAACCGAAGCTCGCATCGCGCGTAGTCGTCGTCGTTCGTCGTCGCCAGTCGTCAGGCGTGCTGGCGTCTCGGTGTCGGGTCTAGACGTCTCTCAAATAGCGCTTCTGGGTGGCGAGTCTGGCGACATGGAGTCATCGACAGCTTCCAAGTCCAGTCCGGCGGCGGCAGATTGTCCGTGTCGATGCCGCAAAAGGGCGCGCGCAGGATGCTCCTCGCTTAAGCAGCCATGGTCCTTGGCCCAGGGAGGGACAATCTCGGCCGTCGGAGATGGACAGGGCATGCTTATGTGCATTTGCCGTGGTCATCGATCCGTCCCAGAAGCGCTGGCGGAGCGGAGACTCAACACGAGCTAACCAGCATGCAACCAACTCACCATGTTAACATCTAAGCGACCTGCAGAGCGCGCAGGCCGACTGGCAACCCGTGGCCGTAGGGCTGGGCGGCCTTGCGCTGTGAATGGACCGAAGGGCGCTGCATGTCGTGCCGTCAGATTCCTCCAAGCACGATAGCGCGATGCCGGCCGAGAGCCCATTCGGGCGTGGCTGTTCTGCGACTTGGCCAGCCAGGGCACCACCATCTTAGAGCTCTTGGCCGGCCTGTGGGCGGCCATGTGAATTTCGGAAGGTCGAGCTTCCGCGCCCATCTCCGCAAGAAGTGGTGCTGCCCACGGAGCCACTGCGGAGACTTGGGGCGCCACCCCTGCCATCGGCTGCGGAGAAGATGGCGGCGGGTGATGCTCGATAGAGAGGGTGACTCGCTGCTGTGGCGCTGGACCCTGGCAACTAATTGCCTCGCTTCCACGGTTGGGCGTCGTCGAAGGATTCACACCTGGCCTGCCATGTAACCTCATGTTCGGCCAGAATGTGCCCGATGAGGATGAGACCAATATAACACAGGTGACAGGACTCCGACGTGACAGCAGGCAACTCAAGATTCCATGTCACCATCGGGCTCAGGCAGTCCAGGCCTTCGGAGCGGTTCCATCACTTGTTCCCTGCAGCGATCAGCGCGGTGAGGCGTCGACCAACAGCCACAAAGCCATCAGCGCCAACCGACAGATTCTAATCTAGATCTCACTCCACCAGATTGTGTGAAACATTGTGAAACAGCGGCGAGGCCGCAGTACACGCACTCCACCCCTGTCGTTTACCCCACGACGTTGCGCAACATGGACAGGTGGTGTTGCCCGACTCATCATTCGCAGTCGTGTCATGTCTCATGTGATTGTCGCCCGCCAAATCCTGCAGCAGATATACGTCAAGTGAAGCCATCACGCCTCGTCAGCTCGTGCAACCCGAAATGTCCGCTCGAGTATTCATCCATCATCGTAACTCCAGGTCGCGCACAGCCGGGCTCCCTTCCCCTCCGACTCCCCGGCGGCTGATTCTACCACTTTTCTCTAGTGCCGTCGTCGTCTTCTAAATTGGTCGTCAAATTGGTGTCGTTGCTGTAAAGGGCAATCGAGGTTGCCGTCTCCCGTTCAATGTTCACTCGGAGAGACCAGAAGTCCCGCCTACCTGCATCCCTTCTTCTTGGAGCGTCCTCTGATGGAACCTCGACCTAGCTCGGATGCTCGGGCCAAACCTGAAGAATATGTACGGCATGGGGGCCATGGCCACGGCAAAGAAGCCCAGAATCGAGGTCGACCAAGCCGACCCCAAAGTGTCATACATTTGGCGGGCGAAGAGCGGAAAGGCAGCACCGAAAAGCGCTCGAAGGATGGCGTTTGCTGCGAGCGCGCTCGCAGAGTATCGCCCGTAGCAATCAATTAGATAGGAGGTGATTCCCAGGAACAAGGTTACAAATCCTATGCCAAAGGGGACGCCGGCGACTATGCAGCTCGCCCAGTGAATCGATGGTGTGGACGTCCAGGCGAACCAGAATAGGCCGACGGGAATGAGCCATGACAGCAAAACGAGATGAGGAAGACGCGCTTCCGGCCTTGGCTCGCCCCATTTCTCAGTATAGTGTGCGTAGACGCGATTGATATATGGCGATGCGACGGTCGCAATGGCCATTCCAGCGCCGATGCCTGGCCATCATCAGCACGCCAGTACAGGTAGAAGGATGGAACAATGGATCTGCGATAGGCTGGGATGAAGGCGGCCGAAGAGAGGGCTGATGGGGAGAGGGGAGATGTCACCTAGGAACGAGAGGCTTGCCTGGGCGGCGTCCCACTGCCTCGTCTGCACAAAGACAAACGGGTACGCGGTAAAGTCCAGATACAGAATGCCGTACAAAAAGGCCAAGTAAAGGGACAGGAGGAAGAGAATGGGCTCCGTGAGGAACATGGCGATGGGTCGCGTGAGACTGGCGCGGAGCATTTCACTCAGGCCTGGCTGCGAGGCGTTGATACCAAGCCTGGTCGCCTTTTCCTGCAGCAGCCGCGGCTGATAGGTCTCGGGTAGAAAGAGAAACATGAGGACGTAAACTGTTCCGCTCATCATGACCACGAGCCAAAAGTTCCTGTCGAAGTGTCAGCGTTTGGGAGAGCTGCGTGGGATCGCGATGTTGAAGGGCATGAGCGTTCACCATCTCCACGACGTATACTCTGTGAGAAAGCCGCCGGCAATGGGGCTCGTGACTGGCCCGATGAAGCTGCCGGCTATAAACATGGCCAGAGGCACAGAGCGATGACTCGGCGGCCAAAGATCGGATATCGATCCGCCCGAGTTGGTGACTATCGATGCCCTTAGATCGTATCCCGCTTTCCCGGGGGCCAGTTGACTCACCGGTCGGAGAGCCAAAGAAGCCGCAGAGGAATCGAAACACCAGCAGCGACGCAATGTTGGGCGAAAGGGCGCATCCGAGGTTGAAGACGGCAAAGAGGAGAAACGTGATGCGGTAGATGGGGTTGCGCCCGTACATCTCGGACAGCGGAGCGAATAGCAACGGCCCAGAGGCGAAGCCTATCAGAAACGTGCTCACGCCGAGGGTCGAGACGGTGATGGAACAGTCGAGGTCGTTGGCAACGGCGGTGATGGCCGCGGTGTGGATAGACGAGCAGAAGGCGACGATGGCCGTCATGACGCTGACTAGAGGACAATGGTGAGCCTTGCGTCCGTCCTATCTCCTGTTCTAAAGGAGGGCTGTAGACAAGAGATTTGAGGTTACGCGGGTGGTCAGGTCGGCATACCAATGATTGTACACGTCCATCTTCGGACACGGCCAAAGTGCAAGGGGCATTCACTCTTGTCCAATGCCAGACTGCTCGCTGCAATGGGCTCAGACGGGAGGCACTCGACGGCTCCAGCGCGCCCTCTTTCGCCGTCACCGCCGCTACAAGGCGCCATTGCGAGCCGACGGCTGGCTTGGGCCTTGCTGGTGAAGGCTCAAGAATTGCGTACTGAAAAAGTCGACGATGGGAACGGGCAGTCGATCGAAAGCGGCGCGGGACGGGAATAGCAGCCGTCGCCCTTCCCGTCCCCCACGCGCGCTTGACCCCGACCAACAACACCCTCGTGGGCTTTAGCGCCCCCGACGTTGGGCCCTTCGGCGCCGATTGACGATCATGTCCGCTGGGGAAGCAGGGGGAGCATTGGGGCAACAGCAGGAGCTGGTGGGGCGGAAGTCCTTCCGGAGCTGGTCTGTTGATTCTTCTGCACTCTCAACGAAGACGAAGTGGAGGCCGACAACCGGTGGGCACCGATTGTCAGGAGGTCAATGGCGCTCGATTTGCATGGTATTGCGCAAACGAGGTCGCTTCCGGCTTCGGAGCGGTGAGCGCTCTTCTTTGCCCAGCAGCACGCCATCGAGTGCCATCGATCCCCTCCGCCTTCCGTCCGTCCAGTCCCCCTTATGTCGGCCCGTCGAGAATCTGATGGCCACGACCTCTCGAACGGCCAGTCCACCATCGGCCAAAATCCCAAGCGCCGTACAGAGGTGGACCGCGCGGGGGCAGACGGCCACGGCCAAGCTCTCGGCCCAACCGCCCCACGCCGTCCGGCTCGTCCCCGCAAGCCCGGATCACGATGACGGTAATCAAGCGCGGTGACCCGTCGCGAACGCCTACAGCTCCGTCCATCACCACTCATCCCAGCATCCAATCCCATAGATGAGCATCGCGCCGCCACGTGACCGCATAAACGGCGGTGATCGTCGACCAATGATTAAGCGGAGCAGTCTCCATTGAAGAGCGCCAAGCTGACGCGTTTCCGTGTCTCATGTCTCTGTGCTTATATAGAGAGATACGCCAAACCAGACGTATCGCCCAGGCGCTCAACTCTTCACGTGTGCAAGCAATCGCCAGCCGTCAAAAATGTCCAACAAGGTCATCGCCAACATCGACACCCCAGACCCCTGGATGATCCAGGCCAATGGCGTCTTCTACCTCACCTTTACGCTCGCCAACCGCATCGAGATATGGCAGTCTCCGTTGATGGAGGACTTCTTTAGTGCGCAAAAGACTGTCGTCTGGCAGCCGGAGCAAGGCTCGCGCTGGGCTGCCGACATCTGGGCGCCCGAGCTGCACTGGCTCAACGGCGTGTGGTACATTTACGCCACGGCCTCGCAGCCCGGCGTCGGCAACAAGGGCCACCGCACCATCGTCCTCCGGTCAACACATGAGGACCCCATGGAGCAGTCGGCGTGGGAGTTTCTCGGCCCCCTGAAAGGCATGCCCGAGCAGTTTAGCATCGACGCCACAGTCTTTAGCCCCAACGGCCAGGACCTGTACATCTGCTGGTCCGGGTGGCCGCCCGGCGACAGTTCAGATACCCAGCAAGACCTATATGTCACGCAGATGGTCTCGCCCGAGGAGGTCATTGACGCGTCCATCCTTCCGCCCGTGCGGATATCAACCCCCGACCAGCCGTGGGAGCGCTTCGACGGCGGGTCGCGCGGCATCAACGAGGGGCCGACATGGCTCAGTTTGCCCGACGGCGCATTCACGGGCATCGTGTACTCGGGGCACGCCAGCTTCACAAGCGAGTACAAGCTGGGCCTGCTGCGGCTTGTCGCGCCCAACGCGGACCCCCTGGATCCCAAGTCCTGGGAGAAGCGGCCCATCCCGCTGCTCATCAACGACCAGTCGATGCCGGGGCCGTACGCGCCGGGCCATGCCAGCTTTCTGCTCAGCCCGGATGCCGGTGACAACAGAGTCTTTTGCGTGTACCATGCAACAGAGAACTGGGGCGAAGGGTTTGGCAACCGCAAGGCTAGGGTACTTGCACTGGGACCCGAGACCTTTGCGCCTGGTGCGCGGCCGGTGTGCTGCTCCAATGCCCCTCACAATCCGCTCTGGAAAGGGGGCGCCATCGGTGCTCCCAGCGGCGGCCCCCAGGAACGTATATCCAGGGCGGAGCACCAAAATACCACAAAGGCGCCCGGGCTGGTCCAAAAGGCGCTAGATAAGATCAAGAGATTTACCTGAGGCCTGCACAGCGGGCGTATGGGCGGGCACCCTCTGCCCTCCCATTACCCGTGCAACGGTCTTGGATCATACCGGCTTCAAGTCTTTGTATCATTTTGCGAGGGGAGACCTCGGGGCCTGTTTGCGCTCTGAGGATTACCCCTGTGCGCATCCGTGTTGTAGAGGGAGAAGCGCCGTTTCTGGCACCTTCGTGCTCCTCCGTTAGGTGCTGCATACAGCCAGTTGCAACCACGGCCACATGATCTGCAGCCATCTCATTGCTGAAGGCACTGACGCCATATCGACCACAAAGTCATCAAGCGAGTATGAACCTGCATGTAGAGACGCTTCTCAACGAATTCTACAGTTTCGGTCCCTTTGTCAGGATGCCAGCAACAGTGAACATAGCGCTAGCCGGCGAACCGGTAACGAATCTCAAGCCGCAGCTCGTGTAGTCTGCTGAAACGTCCAACTCGCAATCAGATCCATCAACGGCGGCGACAGCGCATCATACGTCTCCAGCCCCAACGCGCGAAACCGCGCACGCACCCGACCCATCTCCTCCGGCGGAAACCCCTGCTCAATGACCGACGACACAAACGCCGCAAACTGCGGCTCCTGCCAGCCCACGTCCCGCGACAGCTCGACGTGCACAAAGTCCAGCCCCCGGAACGGATGCTCCTTGTCGATGCGGCCGTACATGTGCACGCCGCACGACGAGCACGCGTGCCGCCGAATCGTAGCCGCCTCGTCCACGACGCGCAGCTTGTGGCCGTTGGCCGCCACGGTGAGCTGGTCACGCGGAATGACTGCAATGACCGAGAACAGCGCGCCGTCGGGCTTCCAGCACTTGGAGCAGCCGCAGATGTGGTTGTGGCTGACGTTGCTGTCGAGCCGCACCTCGACCTTTTCCGACGCGCAGTGGCAGCGCAGACGCCCGCCCTTGAAGTCCTTGGAGCCGAGCTTCAGGCCCGAGTCGATGCTGGGGTGCAGCGGAATGGGGCGTTCCGTCAGGGCCTTTCGTCGCAGGCGAGCGATGAAGACGGCGGCTGCTACCACCGAGCACAGGAGCGCTGCGGTGGATGCGTACTTTTTGTTGCGACTTATCTGCGAGGGAGTCATGATGATTCTGCACGGCCGGTGTTGGATCCGGGATACGACAAGTCGAGAGGGGGAGGTGTACACTGGCTGTTGAGGGGACGGTGGAGGTGGCTTGTGATATAGCGCCGCGACAACGCCCAGCCAACGCCATGCCCCTCACGACGCCGCCGCGACGCCGAAATACCGAGAAACGACCGTCATGGCGACGATCTGTTGGTTTCCCCTCATGTTTCGCACTCTGCAACCCGCGATGCTGATCTGAGGCTGGAGCATGGCGGGGGCTTGGGCGTATCGGTAGTCAGGGCTGGCCTCTACTGCCGGTTAAGCTGACGGTAGTCAACGTAGCCGTTGCAGGCACCGCTGTAGTGTGCGGGGGTTATTTCCGCCACGAACTCCACTGGTTCATCGCTGGTCACGGGGGCACCGTAATCATAATTCTGGCCGACGCCCCTTCGATATCAAATTCGTAGCAGATTGCCAGCAGTCGCTTTAGAGTTGACGTCTCTGTGCAGAAGCAAATGTCCGATCGGGCCCATCGGGCAACACGGCGGGACTCGGCCCCGCACCGGCCCCACAGCAGCCCGCTCACGCTCCGCTCAGTCGGGCAATTTTATCGGGGAACGAGCCGTCCCCGGACTCGCCCGTCACACCACGCCGCCATCGTCGTCGTATGTCCGACCGGATCCCCCGGGAGCTCTGAGCTGCGGTGGGGCCCTCCGATGTCGCAGGTAGAAGCTTGCTGCGTCGCAGCCATGAAGCTCAATCACGCAGCATGAGTGATCAAATTTGCATGATGAATGCGCCCAGGCTTTGTCAATGCTGCGAGCATTGAGCTCTGCAAGCGGCAGGCCAAGTCACCATCGCTTTAGCTAGGCTCTCCGTGTAGATGCGTAAGAATGAAGACTGTAAGCCTCCAGGATTATCTTCATCGCCAGTCGTGTCTATGTAGGCTCCGCAATGCAAAAAGTACCCCAAAAACGCCGTCTGTATAGTTCATGTTTGGCTCAACGCCAACGCTCGCCAAAATCACACGGAATTAGAGTTGTCTTTGCACGTCCACCCGCCAGAGCCGCCCGACTTTTTGTACGAGTCAATCACGCCGACGACGGAGCCGTACGTTCCCGCAATCATCAGGAACGTGCCGGAGACGACGACAAAGACGCTAAAGCACACCATGAGCTTCCACCGGAGCGACCGCTCCTTCTTGCCCTTGCTCCAGTTGTCGTACAGCCACATGCAGCCCATCGGCTGGAAGCACAGAAACGTGCCGAGGAGGGCGCCGATGAGGGCGACGAGGCCGTTGAAGACGGGGATGGCGCTCGCGATGAGGTAGGCGATGAGGGTGGTGCCAAACGTGCAGCCCAGCCAGACCGACCAGTGGATGATGCCGTTGGCCGTCAGGTGGACGGATCCGCGGAGGATGCGCACAAAGATGTACTTGGCAGGCAGCTACACGCAGTTAGCATGGGCACAGTCTACTTTGGGTTCCGAACGGGGCAGACGCGGCTTACATGAATGACGAGGATGGTAGTGACAATGAGACCGGGAAGCGCGAGGCCGTACGCCACCTTCTTGACCAAAACGCCTGCAGAGCCGAGCGCGGGCGACGCCACATACGAGCCGCAAAAGTAGTAGACGACGGTGCCGATGACAATATATGTAATGGTCGCGCCGGACTGGCAGACGAGCACGGCCTTGGTGTACTGCTGGGGGTCGCGCATCTCGGCCACGATGGAGAAAAAGGCCGGCGTGCCGGCGTAGGCAAAAACGAGAGTCGACACGGCCGAGATGGCCTCGGTGAAGGACGGGTTCTTGAAGAGCTTGTAGTTGGACGACCAGGGGCCCTCTTGCGGCGCGGCAGCCGGGCGGTCCTGAAGACCGACGGCGATGGTGACGGTAAAGACTGTGCGAATGGTTAGCCGTGCCAGGCTCGACATCAAGTGCAGGAGGGGCACCGAACTGGAAATCATGATGCACGTCAGGCCGATCCAGGCCAGCCAGCTGATGCGGCCCAGCGTGCGGATGCTGCCAAACATGAAGCCGATGATGGCGGCGACGGCGACGAAGATGGCGGTGCAAGCACCATGGGTCGAGACGGCATTGAGGCCGATGGATATGCCCAGCATACCTGAGCCGGCGGCAAAGATCCACACTGCGATTGTCAGAGGTGTCTGCAGCAGGGGACTTCCATAGGATAAGGCACTCACGGATGCAAAACGCAGCGCCCAGTGTCTCACGCCCGATGCGACCAAACATCAAGCCTCCGGCGTCGTCGATGCTGTAGACTTCAGGGTGGCGGCTCTTGAAGACGCCGATGATGTAGGTCGACCATGTGGTGATGCAAGCAACGATGATGAGACAGATCAGCCCCGGGATGAGCCCCAATGCGTCAAAGGCCGACGGTATCGACAGGACGCCAAGGCCAATCTGTGTCTTCATCATGAGGGCAACGGTACCCAGCCAGCCGAGCTGCGAGAGAGTCAGTGTCTAGAGCATCGGGAGGGCTCGCGCAGGGCACGCACGCTGCGGTAGTTGGGCCCATCCTCCGTGATCTCGCCAAAGACGGCATCGTGGGGCGCGTCGTGCGCGCTCGCCACGTCCTTGCACTCCGTGGCCGCCAGCGCGGGAGACTCGCCCACCCGCTCGGGGTCTTGCGACGCTGCGCTCTTTGACTTGTCGGCGCTGCCCATAGTTGCTGGCTATGGGGTCGGGGGAAGAACGAAAACCTGGCACCAATCCGGGGAATGTGGAGGAAGAGGAAAATGAAAGGGCAGGTTTCCTTAAGCAAGGGCGGCAGGAAAAGAGTCGGAGTCAGAGAGGTGCGGTGACCTGATGGCCGGCCCCGAGTCAGATGCTTCCCTAGCTCCGGAATATGTGGTCGTCGTACGAGAGGCGACTGGAGCGAGTGGGCCAGGGATTTTCTCGAACAAAAAAAATTTAAGGACCTGGATCCCGGAGAAGACGTTTATTTATTGGGGGGGGTCCCCTCCCCTTGCCAATAACAATGAGATTTTATACTACGTAAAAGACGCCGAGTAACGTTCGGCTAGACGTAGCGAAAAATCTGCGGGCGGCGTTGGATGGCGTCGAGGAACCCGTGGCGGGTTGCGCGCGCTAGGTCAAGCCATATCGAGGCGCCCACCACGCGGCGTGCATGCCTCGCCATGGGCGGGCGGAACTAGGCGACCTGGAAAAGACAGCAAACCTTGCGAGGGCTTCCCCGGATGTTGGCCTGATGAGGAGCAGGCCGACATCCGTCTGGGGTAACGTTGACGGCTGCGTGTGACGGTACATGTACGCGACGGTGGAGGCGAGGGCATTCAGGGGCAGAGCCGAGGAGGAGAACCTGCCGTGTTTATCTGTGTCTGCAGCCGAGCACCCGCGTTCCGTTGGGGGCCGCCTATGCGGACAGCTTCATGCCGCGAGCATGAGGAGAGTTTGCCTTGATGGCCATGTCCGGCATCACGACTGCAAGCCGCTGCGCCGGATCATCGTCGTGGCAGCTTGCCCCCAGGCCGGGCCTCTCACCTCGTCAACCTGCCCAGCCTTTGACAGCAACAACAGGGTACCAACGGCGGGAAGCACGGCGGGAAGCACATCGCGCGGATCCGGAGCGCGCTGGCGGGGGGCTGTGGGCTGCGGCTGCGGGTGGCGTGGCCCTGTGCTGCAGAGGCACAGAGTTTTGACTCGAGCATCGCCGCCCTCTTCCGTGTTAGTCGACTCGCCACGCCGCTACCTCCGATCGGCCGGGCCGAGTCACGCTTTTCCAAGTACCTACCAGCCTGCATTTTGGTCTACCTCTCCAGCGCGGCTCCCTTAACGATCTCTGGGCATGCTGCCATCGACACGCTGGCCGGTAAGCACCCCCTGAGCCAGCCGGACCCGTTGGTGCCGCCCACGATGCGCGACAATGCTCGGTTACCATGACGTAAAACGGATCGAGGCTCGGTACAAGGGAGGCTCTTCCGGCCTGCGGATGCCTTGCCCCTTTTGGGCCAAGCCACGAAAAAGCCACCGGGGGGTCGACACGGCCGGGCGCCGCTAATGCGACGCGGCCCGCAGAAATAGGTAATTGGCGCCTGCAGGATCTGCACCTCTGCCGGAGCTAGTTTTTTCTGCGGCGCTTCGGCGTGTGTTCTGCGAGGGACGTGTGCGCCGCGGTCGCGACAGGCAGCTCTTGTGCGTGGGCGCGGCGCGGGGGAGATGCGCGCGCTCACCACGTACGACGTTTTGGCACGCCGCGTCACCGCATCGAAAACGGCACTCTGCAGTTGCTTCGGGTGCTGGAGCGCCGCGTCAGGCTGGGGACCTTGACGACGCGGGTCGGTCGGTGGAGCTCCCATGGACATGTCGCGCGCTGTCGACTCCAGTTTGAAGCTCGTCTAGGGCTGCCCAACCCTCGCTGCGACGCGTCCCTTCTCCACCGTCCCCAGAGGAGTGGCGGTGCTGGTTTCACTCATTACGTCTCGCTTGCGACGGCAGAGCTGCGGGAGTACGTGCCGATGCACATAGGCGCCGGCCCGTGTGGACCGACGAAGTAGTCTGTGCTGGTAGGACGGCGAAGATCCGGTCGACTACACGAACGTGACGCTGGACGAGATCCAATCGGGCTGTTCTGTAGACTGGTCTTTTCAGTATGTATGCTTTCCTCGCCGTCAGCGTGTCCGTAAATGATCGGATGGAAGCCGTGATCTGAACGCCCAGGCGCTGCGCAGTGTGACTCGTGAGGGAACTGAGGCTCTCAGAGCTGCGGCCATGATGCTAAACAGTAATTACCTACACGGCGACGACCGAAAGGGAATTGTGAAAAAGCCGGCCACCTTGGAGGCAGCCTGACACAACAATGAGATACAATGGACGCGGAAACACCTGGCACCACGGTAACCAAGCCGGCGTCAACACCAACTAGTCGAGGCCGCCGCGTGCCCGATCAACGTTTCGCTTCGCTTCCATCAGCCGCAGGCGCAGATAGTCGCATACATGGTTACGACCTCCGCCAACTCTCACAATGGCAGAAACTTTAAACTCGGCGCACAACATCGCCGTGAGTCACCGGCCAGCAGTGCCAGCACATCTCCATCCAGGCACAAATATGGGCACCGTGCTTGACCAGTTTCTCACGCGCGAACTCCTCACCTCACCCCGACTGCGAACGTCTTCCGCAGGGCCTTTTCTAGCCAAGACATCATCATCATCCCGCAACCGCACTTGGCCACGGGCTCGATCTTGCTGCTGTCCCCGCAAAGATGTCAAGCAACAAGCCGAACCCGTTTGCCGCGCCATACGAGATCCGCCATGGCCCCAGATACCACAAATGTGGTGAGCTCGAGCGCCATGAGATCCTTCATTGTTTGCGGGGGCACCTAGAGAGTTCGCATCGCGTGCGACTGGTGTACGGCCAAATACGCCGTCCTTACGAACCGTCCATCGAGCATCTGCCGAATCTTCCTCCATTCAAGGACTCTGGGCATGCTATCCCGCCCGCGAGCTTCTGGAACAAATCCTTTCCAGTATACAATATCGGTGGAGATAAAGTCATGAGACACCTGCTCGAGATTCTCCTCGTCGTGCTTCATCGATACCTATACCGCCGCTGGTTTCGCCCATACCGAAGTAACATTGAGCACGACCAGTTCATCGCAAAAGTCATGACCATTCACGGCCAAGCGGATACCCACGATGATGCCTTACTCGTGCGCTTGGCCACGTCCATGAACAAAGCTGTGTGCGCTCGCGTCGACGAGACGTGGCATGCAGCCGACGAAGCGGCAAGGGATCCCAGTCCGGAAACCTCAACATGCGTGGAAGCTCTCGGTTTCATGGGAATGGGGCGTCTTGGACATCTCAAGTACTATTCCCTTCGGCCACTCTTCAGGGCCGTCATAATCGTCATCCGCGGCCGCGACTATGGCAACTGCAAACGCATCTCCAAGATTGAGCAGATGCCCGTCATGGTCATCCTCACGGGACACACCGCTGGCCTCAGCGCACCCATCAGTTTTGACCAGATGGCGGACAAGGCGGACGTCGTTGAGTACGAAGACGGCCAGGCCGCCAGCACAACGCTCGAGACGGCCGTCAACTTCATGATGGCGTTGGAGGCGCGCGAGGAGGCAGCCTTTGGCGAACAACCGGATCCAGTCGCGTCAACTGCGTACCCCGATGGCCCAGATCTCTACAACGAGATGTGGTTCCCCGCGTACGCTCGTGCAATGGGCTGGGGAGGCTGGGACGAGCACCCGGTGTTTACGGGACCAAGCTCTCGGTGGGTCAGTCTGGTCAAGTATCCCAATTGGACCGGGCATGGCGCAGGGACAGACGGGAGAATGATGGAGTTGATGGAGAGGGGTGCATACCGCATGCATTTGAACTGGGGATGTACGTGCGAGCAGGAGTCACAGGCCGATGACCAGGACGGGCATGATGGCACAGATCGCGCCCCTGCTTCGGAACCCGTTGCGGGAGAGACTGGCAAAGCGGCAGAGGACCAGGCAATCCAGCCCTTGGTATAACGTCCGAGCAATGTGTTATTGTACCATAATGAAGGCTGTAGACGTAAAGGCCTTGAGCGACGTTGATTGGCAAGAAGAAGCTAGTTGAATACCAGCCATTTTTATTCAGACACTACATGTACCGTTGCTTTCGTTGCTTTCGTTGCTTTCGTTGCTGTCGTTGCTGTCGTTGCTGTCGTTGCTATCGTTGCTGTCGTTGCTGTCGTTGCTGTCGTTGCTGTCGTTGCTGTCGTTGCTNTGCTGTCGTTGCTGTCGTTGCTGTCGTTGCTGTCGTTGCTGTCGTTGCTATCGTTGCTGTCGTTGCTGTCGTTGCTGTCGTTGCTGTCGTTGCTGGAGTGGTGACGAGTTACGGCAGCGACTTGAAGTCGCTCGAGAAGATTGGCGTCTTCTTATCGTCAGCCCCCTGACTCGCGCCGTAGTCAACCATGCCGTGGTACGGACGAAATCTCCGTTGAATGGGCCCTCAAAGTCTTTTGGAATTCGCTGCCGGTTCCGACCATTTCTTTGCTTTGCTGGCCACGGATAACGGCAAGGGAGTGGCCCGGATGGTGGCAGCGTATCCGGAGATGTTTTGCCGAAAGATCATCGATCGGGTCGTCATATATCCGCCCGCTGAAGATCCCTTTTCCCGAAATTCGACATGCAGAGAATGGCCTTTCCCTGGGCGTGAACATAGTTCAGGTAGGGGGGTCCAGTCCCTCCATCGACTCCGTCCCAACGTTGTGTATCTGTAGAAGAACATAGTCTTCTGTCAGAGAGCCGCTTTCGACTACAGAGTCGTGTGCTGTCGGCATCTCCGGGTTGTCTATCGACGTATTATAAAACGGCGCGATCTCCGGAGGCGGCACCCACGTCTCGCCTCTCTGGGCAACTGCTTCCTCCAGGGCCTGGTACAAATCTCGGCCCTTTGCAGCCAGTTGCTGCATTACGGCCTCGCTGGCTACGTCGGAGGGGAGCATGGTTGCGAGCGGAAAACAAGAAGAACACGACGAATCAACAACAACACGAAGCTGCTGCTTCAGGGCGACGGGAATGGTCGCGCGTCGGCGCCCACGTACAAAACCCCAAGGCCACATCTTCTCCTTCCCCTTCTTCCACGGCTACTTGGTGGCCATTTCCTAAAAGGATTGCTTCCCTGGTTGCCTGCACTGCAAGGCAGGTGCCGTCTGAAGCAGGTGCCGTGATAGCTTGTCGTGCTGTAAGACGACACTCAACAGAGCCGTCACGGCTGTACATACTCTATGCAATCCGTTGCAACCTTTCCCAGATGGCCACACTATGATTCTACTGGCAATTGTATTCCCATTCTATTTGGGCAAGAAGGTACTAATCTAGCTACTTCGCTGACTACGTGTCCTTCCACGCGCGCAAAGGGGGTCTACTTGTGCGCATTTCACGTCGCTGAAGGTATTTACGTCGGGCGTCTTGGAGAGCAGGGTCTAGTCGCTGTGGGCTTTTCTGCTATCCTGGCTTGTCGTTGTCCTGAATGCTTTGGCTAACCGAGGGCAAAGAGCTGGACACCCAGGCTCAGGGGTATCCGTCATGTTCCGTACGCCGAAACTCTGCGCTTGGCGGGACGGCCAGGGAGGTCATGTCAGGCATTCTGAGCGCCGCGGGCTACGGGTGACCATGTTTGATGGCAATCGCCAGCAAGAACCTGCTGCGGGGACAGAAGCTGCCAGGAAGTGGACTTTCCAGAAGCAAAAGAATGAGAGAAAGAACGGCTGTCGACCACTGTCGACGTCGGCCCAACAACGACGATGTGGATTCGACACCGCCTCGCGACCAAAGCGGATTGCCCCAATATGTCGACGGACGCATCTGTAAGTCTTTACAGCGTAGTGAGGACCTTGCACTCTGAGCAGACACTCTCGAAACTGGACCTGGCGGATCATTGTTCAACATTGGAGACCGAGCATGATTCCACCTACCCTACGTCACCACCGAGGCCACGGCAAACCATGCTGGAGATGCCAGTCTGCCATCAGACCACCGCGCGCTGCAGGACGACGCGCAGATCAGGGCAGGAGCAATGTAATGCGATCTAAATGCAGTGCAGTTCGAGTCGAAGATTGTGATCAAGACGTTGTTGGAGTCTGGCGTAGATGAAGTAAGCCCAACAATAAACTTGGCTTCGAAGCACGGCATGTTCCCTTGGTGGAAAGTGCTGCTAGGCTCAACTCCCGCTTCCCTTACGAGCGGCCATAGCAAGCTCGCTTGCTTCTGGACAGGGCGCTTAAGCATACAAAAAAGTACTGGCAGTGTCGAACCGCTACATGTACATAGCATCGCTCTTGGCCTCACCCATCTCACATCCGTAGCCCTTTGCAGTGACGATACCCTACACAGCCGCGCTCCCCTTCGATTACGGACGGCGTACCCGACAGAGTGACTTACCCTGCGGGCCATGCCGGGGTATTTTACAGTTGGCCGGATAGCCGACGGTCTTCAACACGCAGCCACCATGACATTTTGCAGCAAGACTTGGCAGACAGCTCAAGCACATCGTACGATGGAGTCAAGCAGCTCGCAATCTCCTCACGCTAACAATAGTCAAAACCCGAACTGACTACCGAATCCGCAGCACACGCAATTTTGCAGCGACGGCGGCAATCCCCACGGGAAACCCAGCGTGCCCTCCCTCTGCAAGAGCACCTTTATCGAATGCTCATTGGTGGCCATAGCAGGCCATTGGGTATATTGGCCATGTTGGTCGTCGTCTGGTCTCGGTGTGAATGACCTGTCAGGTTGTTGCGGGCTGCACAAAGTCATCATTCAAGGATCTCTCTTCTCGTCCCCTCGCGGATGGATGCAAGCAGAGAAGAAAGTGGCACGCGTCGAGCTCGGACCACGTTCAACATTGATGTTGGACCGCTTCTCGGCCCCCAACATGACGAGCTTCGTCGGCTTTAGCGCCCTGCTCCCCCGGGGGAAGGCGGCCCCGCCGCACGTCGGCTGTGCCCAGGGGCGGACAATGTCGGGCAGCCAAGACGGTTGTCTCGGCGGGGTGGGCTCAGTGCTCCCGATGGAGACTGGAGAGTGCAGATGTGGAGGAGGGAGGACCGTTGCTGGAGATGCTTGGCGACGGCTGCACACGACGCGGCATGGCACGTGGGATCTTGGATTTGCATTGATCAAAAGCAAGTGCATGCCTTGGCGGCATTCTGCGACGCAAAGTCACCACGTTCGCGAGGAATGTGTAGTCACGGCGCCACCAAGTACGTTTCATTGCACGCCCCCCCTGGTTTGTTTGCCCATGTTGGCACTCGCAACATTCACCCTGTCTCAGGTCCAGGCAGTGACAAAACTGCCGGACACCCCCCCAGGACGCTGATGTCTGCCAAGTCTTCTCCGTCTTGGCGGCCAAGATTAGTCTTCGTGATCCTCAACGTCGTGCCAGTCCATGTCTGCAGCAAGACGAGAAGGAAAAAAAAGAAAAGAATTTTTTAAAAAAAAAACAATTATACAGTGGTAAATCAGGAGGGAAAAGCTCAGGCCTCGCTGCGGGACGGCGCCACGCTCACGCTCCGCCCGTCCATGTCGTCGGACCCCTGCGCGCTCTTGGCCAGCACCCTCATGCTCTCCGAGTCGCCCTCGATGCACACGCTCTGCGTCGGCCCCCGCTTGCTGCCCCGGCCCCGTGACGACGACTGCGCGTCCTCCTGGCTGCGGATCCACGAGCTGCGGGCCCGGCTGTCGGCGGACGGTTGGCCGTTGCCGACGCCGGCCCCCGTCTTGCCCCGTTTCTGGGCTATCCAGGCCTTCATCTGCCTGAACAGCCTCTTGCAGGCGGCCCACGACGTGACGGCGTAGATGATGGCGTTCCAGAAGCCCTGCAGCGGAAGGACCGTTGCGCTCATGTACTGCAGCGGCACGCTGATCTCGTGTGGGTTGATGAAGGCATGGACGCGGTTGGCGCTCGAGGGCGTCCACGTGACGAGGATGACGATGAAGAAGAGGATCGCGCACTTCGTGTACTGCCAGGCGGCGTTGCTGATTTCCTGATGGATCCGTCGTCGGGGCCGCTGGACGACGCCGCCGCCGCCAGTGCCGCCGCCGCTGCCGGAGACGCCTGTGGCTTGCGGCCCGGAGTGTGTTGCGACCTCTTCCTCTCCCTCCTCGTCCATGCCATCGTCAGCATCGTCGTCGTCGTCGTCACGCGGCCTCGGCGCCGTCGTCGTGGCATGGGCGGTCGCGTGGCCGCCCAGAGCCTGCATCTCCATCGTCTCAGCGGGGCTGACAATCTCGGACGTGACGACCACCTCGGTCGTCTTGATGTTGGTCGTGGTGGGGTCGATGCCGCCTCGGGTTATCGAAGACATGCCGACGGAGCTCGTCTCCTGAAGTTTGCGCAGCTGCTGGCGCTTCCGGTAGATGGTGCCGCCAGACCGGAGGTAGATGGCTAGCGTGATGACAATGGTCCCCCTGGTGCGCGGTCTCGACGTCAGTACCGAAGCCTGGGCATGCCACGCGGCATCAAGACAGAGGGCCGCGACATACCAGACAGGTCCGTAAAAGGTCGCTATGCGCAAGTAGTCCCACCTCGGGACGATCCAACACCACATGCCCGCCGAGCCATACACGCGAATGCCGCTCTTGTCCCTGATGAACAGGTACGAAAAGGCAGGGATGAACGGCAGGCCATAGCACACGACGAGGTACGGAATCTCCATTTTGCGCAGCCGCCGCGCGTCGAACCTAAAGTAGAACGTCAAGTAGACGTTGATGGCCATTGCGAGCGTCCAGCAGGCATCTGCGGAGACAAACCTAGCCATGCCCGTCAGTGACCAAGTATAAGGGGAGAGGTGCTCTCGGACGGCAGAAGCTCGCGTACAAGTGCAAGAGAAAGGCCTGCATCTGACACCCTGCGCTGTTGGGCTTGTCGAGATACATGCACGCCATGGCGAACCCCACGCTGGCCATGAGGTTGCCAAGAGAGGCGTAAAAGACGAGCCGGTTGATGGGCTTGTGAAAGGCATCGCAGAAGCAAAAGGTCGAAATGATGAAGATGCACCCCAGAATCGAAAACGCCGCTCCCACCTGCTGGATGACTCCGACAATGGACAGCTGCTTCGCCGACAGGCCGATGAACGATGGGATGATAGTGGCCCCCATGTCGACGGTTGCGATGCTGCGGAGAAGGTCTATGCCCAGGTACAAAAGAAAAGCGCTATGCTGAAGGTTGTCTCATCGGATGTCGCAGAGACGGGAAGCGGGCCCGGACGGCATTAAATCCATTGCCAGCGACAGACTCCTCGCTGTTCGGCTTTTTGCCTGGGCGTCTGCCCGCAAGGGGCCAACCTGTTGAGACGGTCCATTGGACTGCGTAGGGCTCTGCTCAAGTCATTTCCAAGGGCCGGCGCCCGCCGTGTACACCACTGCGTACAGGCAAGCAAGCAACAGCAGGCAAAGGACCTCGAGCAAGGGTACGGGCTCGCCTGCCAGACGCGGCATCCGAAAGGGAGGCCCGTGATTCCTCGACCCCCTCCGCTGCAAGGCATCATGGTGGACTTATCGGCAAGTCTCAGATTCGCCAAGAGCAACCCGACAGCGCGCCCGGTTGGTCGAGGCGAGAGCCTGAGTAAGACTTCGAGATTGGCTGCGCGCACGAACATGCCGTCGTCCCGGACCAACCGCCAGGTGCAAAGTGGACACCAGCCGGATCGTCCGTCGTCGTCCCGCGACGACAATGTTCACGAACCGTTGGGGGGCGCTGCCGTGACTGCCGCAGACATGCAGACACGACTGACGGTGTCCTGTGCTCCCGGGGATATGTGTCGTGGTGTCCGTCGGTGGCGAGAGGCAAGCGACCGGGTCTTGACAGGTGGTCGCGAAAGGAGCCTCAGGGGCAGGGTGGTCTGTGAGTCCGCCGCCCCCATGTGCACGGGACATGTCGCTCGTTCTCGGTTCTCGGTCAGCACGATGAACGGGTCTCGGGACGCGCGGGGTGAAGAAATTCGTTGAGGAAAGGCTGCTCCATCGCGTACAAAGCAAAGACGCTTCTTGGCATATATGCCTCGAGTGCGATGCAGAGTACGGCCCAGCGTCGCCTTGGCACGCGAGTCTGCCGAGACGCAAGTGCGCCAGACAGTCCAAATTATCATATGCAATGCAATGTGACAAGCTGGGCCCGTGGATGGTTTCAAGCGTATGCGTAGGGCTGACTGAGCTGCGGGTCGTTGGCATTGGCTGCAGCAGATTGTCTCCTGTGTCACTCGCGTCCGTCAAGGGCCACCCCAGCGTGATGAAGCACGCGCAGCATCACATCGACAGGTCATTAAACGAACGCCACCTGCTTGCCAAAAACTAAAACGTATATTTGAGCTCCTGCGCCAAACACCCGACCCCACGAAAAATCAGTGCAAGCCGCTTTCGCCCGTCTCCGCCATGTATTTTTGGCAGCTGACGAGGATCTTGACCTGGTCGCTCACTTCGTCCAGGCGGCTCAGCACCTTGCGGTTTCCGTCTACAAAGCCCAGGATCGAATAATGGATGCCCGTCTCCTGGCAAAACTCCTTCACCATGGCCTGCACCCTGCGCAGGTTGTGTCTGGGGACGCGGGGAAACAGGTGGTGGACGGCCTGGAACTGCAGGCCGCCGTGGATGAAGTCGAGCCACGCCGGGCAATCGACGTCCATGGTCGTCCGGAGCTGGCGCTGCGGAAATGACTCGTCCTCGCCCAGGTCCGACGTGGACATGCCCCAGTGCGACAGCGTGATCTGGACGTGCAGCGGCATGGTGACTATGTGCGATACCAAGACGAAGATGACCCGGGTCGGCCAGTCGGGAAGAGTCCTCCACAGGAGCAGGTATCCGAAGACGAACCAGTAGCCCGCCATAAAGGTGATTTCGGCGGGCCGGATCCACCACGCCTTGCTGCTGCCCAGCGACGAAGACTTGGACGACAGGACGTGCAGCCACGAGAGCAGGTACAGGTTGAAGCGGGCGATGCCCATGACCGGGTAGTATGTGTACTTTTGATACGGCACCATGAACTCGGCCACGGCGTCCCAGGCAAAGGTAAAGTCGTAGTAGCTAGAGTGAATGGACTTGAAGAAGCTTGGGCATGTGGCAAAGAGGGGGATGTTTTGGATGTCGGGGTCGTGCTCCTGGAGCCTATGTTAGTAGGCACTTGTCGCCGGTGATGGGGGTGACTAACAGGCTGGTTGGTGATGAGATGATGGACGTTGTGGCTGCTCTTCCACCACCCAATGGACAAGCCGCAGCAAAAGTCGGCAATGAACATGCCGATGAGTGTGTCTACAGTGAAGATTTGCGTGATGGCTCGATGGCCAGCATCGTGAGCCGTGAACATGATTTGATGCTGTTTATACGGGTCAGCTACATTACCTGCAGGCTGGGAGGGAAATGACAAACCCAAAACAGGCCGAGGAACAAGGCCGATGTAATGTACCAAGCCTTGGTCAAGAAGTAGACAAAGAGCCCAAACAGGCTCAGGTAGCGGACCATCTCCTTGCCGTACTCGAGGTACGGGCATGCGTAGAGGCCTTCATCGGCGATGCGGTCGTGCAGTGCGCTGTACTTTTCGGCAATGGCCTGCTGCACGTCCTTGTCGAGAGAAGGATAGTCGCGGATGTCTATGCGCTGGCCCTGGTGAACCGCCCAGTCGGTGTACTGGTCGGGCGTCAAGGTCGGGCGGCCCCGGGGGACGAGCGGCCGCTTCTCCGGGTCGCTGACATAGCCCTTCTCTTCGTCACGCCGCGATGGACTACCTCGCGGGGTGGTTCGCCGCGAGCAGGAGCCGGCATCCCGTTGACAGGCGGTCGCGGCGCCATGGCTGACGGATTGAGTTGGGCTAGTGCCAGGGGTAAGCAGGGCGCTCCCGTCTGGGCCGGCGGCGGGACGTGCAAGGGCGCCCTTCTCCGCAGATGATTCAAGGCCTGCATCAGATGTCTCCGAAGCTTCCGGCGCGATGTCGAGACATTTGCGAAAGCCGCCTCTGATTGGCGGCGTCCTATTGGTCCATGGGCCTGCTGGTTTCCGGCCGATCCGGTAGGCCTTCATGGTCTTCAAGGTTGCGGCTGAATGGTACCTGTTTCCGCAGGCGTCAGCACCCTGATTTGCAGGTACATGTTCACGTCTTTCGGACGTTCCTGATGGATGTGCCCGAGGGCGGGAGTGGAGGGTGGATGGGGACGGGCCCGATGCCAAGTTGGCACCGATGCAACCTGGTCAGGCACCAAATACTAGAAAAAGCCAGGGGCGCTCGCCGCCGCCGTGGGCAAAATCCGGGGAAGGTTTTTAAGCTTAAAAGAACAATCGACTGTCCTCGCCACTCAGGATATCCGATCCCCTTATCCCCTTCCTGGTCTTCTCTTTTCTCTGACTGGTGCCTGTGCCTGTTGCCGCCCGGGTTACTGCGCTCACTCGAGCGGAGAGACGGGGCCGTTGACGACCCCGCGACAATGGGACTGGACGGGCAGATGGAACACGGAAAGGAGAGGTGGGCAATTACGCAGTGATCTCATTCGTGGCATCTCTGCCCACCATGTGCAGGATCGCGAGACTGCCTCCGGGGTGGAGGGCGAGCCACGAGTTGAGACGCAGGACATAGTCTTGGAAGATGACGACGGTGTCTCCGTTGGCAATCATGGCATCAATGACGTCCGCTGTCAAGACCTGGTCGCGGTCCATTCTGGCGGCGCCAGGCGCAGCAGAAGCCGCCATCGAGACGACCGAGGCGACGAAGACGACGAGGTCGATACCTGCGGCGACAGGCGTATGTGTATGAAGCGAAAGCGATCGATCGAGGGACTTGTCGGCAAGGGAATAACAGGTCGAAGGAGTGGCGGCCGGCTCGAAGCTGGAAGGATGGGTGAGCGATGTAGCAATGCAGACCTGCTGATGATGCTAACGCTGTTGACCGTTTGCCAGGCGAGGAGCGAGCGACGGTGGCACGAAGAACAGCTGCTGGACGAGACGGGACGAGACGGACTCTTGAGAGCTGGCAGGCACTGTCACTGCTGGCCGGGGATCCGTTTTCTAGGAAAGGGAAACGAGCGAGACCCCTGGTGTGGGCGGCGGTGGTTTGCTGCGGCCCTCCTGCTAGGTCGGGGCGCTGGTGCCGTTGCTGGTGCTGGAGCTGGTTCTTATTCTGGCACTTGTGGATGGGCCGATGGGAGCGATGCACATCAAACTGGGAAGCTGCGCGTGTTTTATCCATGCGGCCTGGATCCCATGGGGCCACGAAGCGAGATGCCTTTGGCTTTTGCCTCTGGCTCCTTCTGGCTTTCGCACCGGGTGCCTGGGACCCGTTTCCCGTCCCTCCATCGCTCCTTCCCGACTGCCACTGGCCCGGGCGGCGCCTGCCCGCCGGGGGCGCGTTGTGCTAATCCCACTCGCCATTCAGTCCGTCCAGCCAGTCGCACAGTGGCTCAGCTCGGTGTCTGATGGGCGAGGCGGAACGGCACAGTCCAGGCCAGGGCAGGTGCGAGTGGGCGGGCGGGCGAGCAAGCGGGCAACAGGTGGGCGGGCCGGTGATGTGGGCAAGCGCGACCGCGCAGGCAGGAAAGAGCAGACCAGCAGACCAGCAGATCAGACCAGTGGTGGCGGCGGCGGCAGGTACGACTGGGCCACGGGGACACGCGTACACCGTGCGTGCTGGCGAGCGTGCGTACGTGCGTGCGCGACTCGAGCCTCGAGCCCTCTCCGGCTCCACGATTCAGGGGCTCGACACGAGACGGGCGGCCAACAAACGAAATCTCGTCGGGTTCCTGGAACAGAAAATCTCCCTTTGCGCACCCGCAGGCAAGCCACACGCACCACCACACGGGCGACATCCCGGCGAATGCGCCAGCGAATGCGCCAGCAAACGAACCACCTGTGGGGTCGTCGCCGTCGTCAAGGGGCGGATCAACAATAGGGACGCTTCATGCGGACGCTGCAAACCCACAGTGAACCCGCTTCGAGGACGCCACGCGCGACCATGGCACGTTGGATGCGCATCGCGCGGCGGCGCAGCCGCTCATCGCTCGTCGCAGAAACAGGGCCGGCCAGGGCACAACGGACAGAGAGCCAGGGGGCGCCGCGCCCGGGCAGACAGACGTCAAGCATGCAAGCCAGCATGCAAGCGAGCAAGCAGGCAGGCGGCGCGACAAAAGGTACATGATGCCACAGACCAAGAACGAGAGGAGATGCTCGGCGCGCCCAGCAGCCAGCGCACACCAAAGCAACGGGCGTCTAGAACCTCGCGTGGCGGCCCGTCCAACGGTTATCCATCTGCAGCCGAATCAGACGCGGGACACGGGACCCTGCATCTGCGCTTCCCCAGAACGTCCCAATAATGGCGCAAATGTCATTCTGGATCTGGGCGTCCCAAGCGTGCCAGCGGCGAGTCGTGCGCCCGCCAAACCAACGCCAGCCTTGGGACGGCAAGGTCCCAGGCACGCGGCCTTACTTGCTCAGCCACAATTCTGGAAAACAGCGGATCCGCCCACTCGCACCTTGCAGCGTCCTTCCAGATTGGCATATCCTCCCGGAAACCGCCTCGAGCCAATCAGCCACCTTGTCAGCGGCTGGCTGGCTGCCTCTGCTGGACCGGCTGTGTGTCCCCTTTTCCTGTCAATCTCCGTCCCCCGGCTGGGTGCGGCAGCGTTGCACGGGACCATCGCCTGCCCTGCGACGGGGCGAGACATGAGTTCTGGCACGTCTCTGGGAGCCTCAGGCTGTTCGGCTGTCGGTCGGCCGGCGAGCAATCTGTCACATCTTTTTCCGCATCGACCGTCTCATCGGTCACATCAGACGTGTCGACGGCCGTTGCCACCAAATTGGGCCCCTCGGTCTGCAGCGCACACGTGCGGCGTGGAGAGATGCTAGAGTCGCCCTAGCCCGCAAATGAAGAGTTTCGTATGCGAGCGCTCCGTAAACAGGGAAGTGCGCAGCAATGACTTCACGAGGCGTCGATGCTCGCTGTCCAACAAGCAGCTAGCCTGCCCGACCCCCACACAGATCGCTCGCCCAAGGCAACGTTTTCCAGCTTGCCCGTCTGCCAGAACGCACTCTGGCGTTCGACCTAGTGCATGTGCTGAACCGTCACGTCGCACAATTGCGCGCCATGAAAGATGGACAACGCCGCTACTGTACGCGTGCGTGCTGGCTCACAGGACTTTTGATCTTGGCCAGCCATTCTCGCCCCCCTGCTTGTGCCCAGCCGTGTCCAATTTAAGCTACCGCCACATCTGAGCATGGGCCACAGCGTTGATGTTGGACACGTCCTGTCGGGGACAGCCGCTTTCTGGGAGCATCTCCGCCCCCCCGATTGCCCAACGAAATTTGGCACGGCGCATCCCTTGATCAGGCGGGTTGGGTTGGGTCGAGGCCACCGTAAAACAGAGCGGGGTGACATCCACATCCAAACCTTTTCGTTTGGTGGTGTAATATCGCCCCGCCTACGAAACACGCGGACATGGCAATCGGTACGTGGCCAATATACGCGGGGGTATCGTCGTATTAACGAAGCTGCCGACTCCTTCAGCGGCCCATATCCCTCGGCCCATATCCCTCGGCACGTCTACACATTCAGCTTGACAGAGTAGACTCCACGCTCGATGCTGTTCACCACGACATACCCGCTCTTGAAGTAGGGGTAGACCGACCAAGCCCCGTTGAACGTCACCTCGCCACCCTTGTCGTCATCCTCCGGCCGCACGTCGAAGAAGGCAATCTCCTCAAACTTGGAGCCCGTGTCGTCTTCGGCAATCGACGTGACGTTGACCACGCGCAGGCCCGAGCCGTAGTTGCTCTGGTACGAAATGCCATCGATGACGTACTGGTTGTGGTCGATGGACTTGACGGGGCTCTTGTACACGCCGGTGAAGATGGGGTTGCGCAGGTCCGACGCGTCGACGATGTAGGTCGCCGTGTGGCCGTCGGACGCGGGCCCCGAGCCGTTCTCCTCGTCGAGCTCGTCGTCGAGCAAGAGGTATCGCATGTCCTTGGTCGCCAGCCACCCCTGATGCGTGTACGTGGCCCCGTTGTACGTCGTGCGCGACAGCTGAACCGGCTGCGCGCGCCTCGTAATGTCCACCACGGTCAGGCTGTCCTCGTTGTAGCAGTAGCAGATCTCGTGGCCCTGGAAGTCCCTCTGAGGGCCGCGGTAGATGACGCACTGCGCGTCGTGGACGTAGCCGTCCTGCGACACGCAGCCGTTGTCCTGCGGACGGCGCGGGTTCGAGACGTCAACCATCCACAGACCGCCGCGGCACTTTTCGTTGCGGGCCGTGCCGACGGCGAAGATGGTGTTGGTCTCCTCGTTGGCGACGATGTTGTGGCTGCTGCCGAAGCCGGCGAAGTGCGCCGCCAGGTCGCTGCGCGTGCTGAAGCTCGGCGGGTTCTTGGGGTCGACCTTGAGCAGCTTGGTGAGGTCGAAGATCTGGAGCCCGTGGTCGGGCGCCTCGGAGCCGATGTAGGCGTGGTTCTTGATGACCTTGATGTCGCGCCACGTCGACGCCTCCGTCTGCGTGGGGAGGCGGCCCACGTACTGCAGGCTTCCGTCCTTGAGCACCTCGACAAAGGCGGTTCCATCGGCCTGGCCCACGATGGCGAACTCGCGGCCAGTGGAGGAGGTCCAGCCTATGATGCTTGTCAGCTCTGTCAGTCACGTTGCCAGTTGCTAATCATAAGCCTACCCCAGATGTCGTTTCCGCGGCGGGATCGGCTCTGCAGGTCCTGGTGGCGCAGGAAGCCCTTGAGGTCGACGTTGTTGCACGAGTACTCGCCGGCCTTGCCGCTGGCGCACGACGTGGCGCCCTGGAGCGTGTACTTGTCCTTGGCAAAGACGCCCGCCTGCTCGTCCTTGGCGAGCTGGTCAAGCTTCTTCTGCTTGAGGACCTCCATCGAGACGGCGTTGGGGGCATTGTACGCCTTGAGCTCGGCCGGGTCAAAGGCGGCCTTGGCCCGCGGCGCCTTGTCCCCGGGCCGGGCCATGGCGGCGCCGGCCAGGGCCGTGACGAGTAGCGATGCGATCGGGGCCTTCATCTTGTCTCGTTGGCTGAAGAGAGAAGGCTGCTCGGGGTATAGGGCAGTGCGTGCATCTCAGCTTCTCGACTTGGATCCCGCCATTGCCTCTTTATACCCCCGTTGGCGAGGCCAAGGCCGTGCTTGGCAGGTGGCAATGTTGACACAAAGACCCTGTCGGCGAACCTGGAGAGGTGACGAAGCAGAGTCGCTTGGATGCTTTGGGTAGGTCGATAAGCATCGTTGAGAGGGCCAGCATCTCCGCAAGGTCGCATCCCCGTCGGGGCAGTGCGGGAGCGCCTGGGCGAACGAGTATGGTGTTGTCTAGGAAGGGTATGATCGGCGTGTTTACTCACGTCTGGGCAGGGCGACTGCGGAGGGAGAGGGCGCGGGCAGAGTGACATTCGTCGGCTTCGTCCAACGCTACGCCGCGGAGGGTACAGTCCGAGGTTTTGGTGGTTGCGATGCCGAGGCCAGCCCGGTTCGCCGACGCGGGGAAAGCCCTGGTCTTGCGGCGAAGCGGTGGCTCAATGAGCCGGAAGTGAGTCAATGCCGGAGTGGCTCTTGATGATTTGCAAGTGCAAGGCGAGTCGTCCGCGCAAGACGAGGCGAACCGAGCGCACGGCGTTGATTTCGCAAATGCTTCACCCAGCATCATGATGGGCCCCTCGTCGATGGACTTGGTGCGACGACACAAATCACGACAGAGTGAGATCGAAAGACGTTGTATCAAGACCCCACCGATGCCCCAGTCTGACGTGCTTTGTCGACCTCTACACATCACCGCGGAGGGCGAGGCGACGGCGCACGGCGAACGTCCAACATTGGTAGTCGCGGATGCCTTTTAATATACGTACCAAGCCCAAAGTCTTGACGCCTTCCTCTTCCCGCTAGGCGCCCCCGCGCGGGGTGGCACTTGAGGGTCACCCGGGAACCTTAAGGATAAGCTTGCGACTCGACACAGAGACGGCAGTCCGAGTGGCGCCCGGGGCATCTTGGGTAAGCAGCAGGCGTTCGGCGCCGACTGGCTCCATGCCGTGCGGCTCGCATCCCCCCCTGCCCGGGCGAGCCTATCGACAAGGCAATCGCAGATGAGTTCGGCACATGCAGTCCCACTCCCGTGTGTGCTTGCTCCCCGCTGAGGGGGCCGGTCCATCCTTGGCATGTGTAGACGCCCCGAATACGGGGAGACGACGCCGTGCGGGCTTTGTGCGTAGGGCCGTTCTAGCGCGGCACGGCACCTTTGAAGTTTGGACGGGATGGCAGTACCCAGGTCGAGCTCGCCGCACGCCATGCCGACCGCTGGACTTGGCCATTGGGGGGACCTCGTCTGGTAGTTGAGGAACGCAATGCGATCTGGTGAAGCGGCTGGCCTTGACTACCCAAGAGGAGGGTGGGAGCAAGAGAGGGACTTTTGACCGCGGGTACACGTCCCGACGTCGAGAGTGACGGCGAGAAGATGAAAGTTTGGTGCTGATGAGCAAATGCTTCCGGGACGCCCGGCAATGGGACGCCCGGCCGATAAGCTGTGTCGTGTTATTGCCAATGCGAGCCATCTTGCGGTCTATGCATGAAAAAGGCTGCGCATGGTCCCATCTGGAGACCAAGGTTCAGTTCAGCGTTGCGGCCACGGCGGGCGATGTTTATGGAGTGCGGCACGGACATGCAATCTAGGCCCGTTTTTTTAATGGAAGCATTGACGCGAAGTCACCAAGCTGTTAGATGGGCGTCCTTGGTTCCGACAAAGGTTTTTACGTGAGTGGTACTCTACAGTAGCCTTGACGCTGGCGTGATGGACAACCGCGTGGAGCCTTTTACTCTCGCGTACATAACGTGCTGCGTAGGTACATGTAATGCATCTGGTGTGCCGCCCTGATGTTGCCGGCTGTCGTGTCGCTGCCCAGAAAAGGGACGACCGACCAGTACAGTTGACTGTCGTTTGCCGGCAGCAGTGGCCACTTCGGAGGCGCCCACGAAAGATGTCACTCTTCATCTCATGTTCTCGGACATGTCTATCCCCTCGCCGACGGTGTCGCCGAACGAGCCTTTTCCAAGGATCCCGGTGCTGCCGCGGCCGTTGTGAGTCCTCGCGCGAACACAATGCGCAACCGCGACTTGAGACCTGGCCCCGGAAATGCCACTCGAGCTGCGTCTATATCGGGACAGCTTATATGGGGACATCGACACTCCATCTGGCGCCGTGGCCGGTCAGTATGCACGATGGGCTGGTGTGCAGGGGCGCGCGCCATTGAGCTCTCGTCTCTTATTACGGAAAGACGGTTTCTAGACCATTGCCTGCAATGGTGTGTGGGATGCTAAATGAGCCGCGTTCATGCTGGGTGGTGATGGCGGCCCTGTGTACATGGGCTGCGGGCGCGTTCTTGCATCAATTGATGTACCCACGGAACAAGGGCGTGATAGCAGCCACCTCATGGTCAGGCAACACCTGCGGGGTGAGATTTTGCGCGCCGTCAATGCTAGATCATGTTGCCATAGAACATCAATCTCATGTAGAAATATAAAGGGCCGTTCGAGGGACGAGGGACCGTCTGAGAAGAATCCCATGACTCATCATTGCTGTTCTTGCCATTCAGCACCAGGCGGGAATCAACCACCGTTGCAATCACATCATGAGGACCTTTACTATCATTCTCGCTCTGGCGTGCAGGCTCGCATTTGCCGCGGCAGAAGATGCCAACAAACCGTCGCCCGCGGCGGCAGAGACCAAGGCTGCTGCTGTATGTGCCATCAATTGATCTCTGAAGACTGGAGTCCGGAAACAACTGAGGGCTGCAGCCTGCTAATCACATTCACAGCCCGTGAGCGCGGGCCGGCTTCACTATGCCATGGAAACTACATACAAAGACGATGGCTACGTTTTCAAATGTGAAAAGGTACGTACAGTTGAATGTTGCGCTTCCTGTTCATACGCTCGATGTCTATGTTTGATGGGGCATGTTCCAATATTTACGCATCATAGGAGCTCGATATGGGTACAGTTTTCTGCGGCAGATATTATAAACCAGTAAGTCCTTGGAATCGCCCTAATCGAGAGATTGCTCTCTTTTCTGTATGGTGAGCTAATGAAGAAAAAATAGCCAAGAGAGATCGTAAGTTAGATCTTTTGTCGTATTTGGGTCTGGTTCCTCAGACAGGTTGATGGTGGCCATCCACCTAGTGATCGCTGTTGCGGTCATGCCATTATCCCCATGGTCGAACAGTCAAAGATTGCCTACTTGCACGTGGCTACTAACTCGTGCTCGCTTGAAATCTAGTGCAAGACTTGGAGCAGACTGGCCCAGGCCTGCGGGGGTATCGAAGGCGTAAGTGATCTTGACCGAGCAAGCGCATAGTAGCACAATCTAATATCAGATTCAGTGCACCACTTGCGTGGAAACAAAGAGAGAGGGTGTTAGTGGCCCACCTTCCCCGCGGCATGATATCGTCGTGCTGACTTGAACAGGGCCAAGCTGCTTTCCGCTGCAACCAAACGGAAGAGCATCAGGAGTACGCCGCGTTCTTGCCAAACCAGTGCTACGGGCGATCCAACATCGAGCCCGGGTGCATAGAGGTATTCAAGGGCTGCCGCAGCAGGTACCCACAGGGCGTCTATGGTAGCGGCAAGGCCGAGCGGGACCCGATCAGGTCTTGTCTGAAGAAGGAATTGAGGGAGTTGTTCCACACCTCCAATATCAAGTTGCCAAATATAAAGAAGCCAAAGAGTTGGTCGGATAAGGTCAAGGCATGGTGGAGCCCTGACGGGGCGGAGAACGCTTGATGGCAAGGCCCAGACCACTGACAAATGTAGCGGTGGAGCGAGAAAGCTGCCAGACAGGAGACCGAGCTATACGCTGTGACAGGTGATCACCGTACAGTGTGGTTCTGGACTCTTTATATACGGGCGGAGGGACGGACTTATAGAACGCTTTAATCGGCTATCATTTATTGAAGGTAGTACATTGGTGCGGATGACCAATTGCAACAGCTCACAGTCCGCGATGACACGCTGATGAGTTGTGTTGTGCTTCAAAGCGCGGCTGTACATGTACGAGTACATGGCGTGTGCAACGATGAGACTGACCAGCCGCCGTTAGGACTGTGCTTCGCACATCCAGTTATCTTGAGTACATGGCTCTGCATCTTGGCAAGGCGAGGGAGGGGCCAGATTGGACTGGAAGCCCTCTTGTCCTGCCTCTAACTTGTACGGCAACGATGAGCCCCTGGATGTGGTCTGTGGGCGCGGAACCTTGGATCTGCGCCGTATCATCTCGGCTGCGTGCGCAAGCAGTGACATCCGGAGCCGCCGCAAGGCAATGGGGAGCAAGGTTCAGGCCACGGCGGCGGTGTCCATCGACTACGGCACGGACGCATGCTCGTGTCTTCTAGAGGTACGTACTTACACGAACCCCCTGGAGCTCTACCGAGATGAGGTTCTACTTCAGGAGGCTCAGTCCTGGCGTGGTAACGGCCCATGCGGCCACGGGAAGCCCTCTATCGGCCCCCGCATGGCCGGCAGCCATGCCTATCGCGGCCCATCGGAAAGCCGATCGCGGAGCAACGCTGACCGACTCTCCTGATTAGGGCACATTTAATCAATATCTCAGTGACTACATGTGGCGGATGGGACTCTAAATCACGGCATGCACTCCGAGTACCCCGTGAGCCACATTTACCATGGGCGGTGACGGCGGCTGCTCTGTCGAAGTTACCACTCTAGGAATACGAGCGTACCATGACGGCTAGTCCCAGGCCTCGCAACCGCAAAGAGATGTCGGCGTCATCAAACCGTACATCAGATCATATTAGCCCCGAACATCTGGCCGAGCTGTGACATTATATACAAATGGTCCATAAGAGTCAAAGACCGTCTCAGGAACATGGAGGTTCTATGGCTTCGCCCATTCAGCACCATACTCAGCCACGGCGAGAAGTGCACGATGAAGACCTTGATCACTGCTCTCGCGCTCGCGTGGAAGCTGGCCGTCGGGGTGGATGCAAAGGCCAAAAAGCTGCCTATTACAGACGAGAAATGGGTATACGCCATCTCCGCCAAGCATCAGTGATGACAGTTGAGAGAAGCAGCTCACTCATGCCAAAATTCGCACATAGACCGGGACCGCAAAGGAATTGGACGTTGCCATGTACCATGAGTTCGTTGGCTCGACTCTATCCTGTAGCAGGGTACATCCATCTAGCGGTCTACAACTGTGCTTGCAACGTCTGACGAGACGCCATGGGCACATTCCAGGAGCTTCCCGAAATTTCCTGCACCTTGTTTGACGAGGTGAGCGGTTGACATACCCACCCCTTACAAACGAAAGTTCTGCGTATACCTTGTCCGAGTCTAACATGTAGCAGGTTTCCTTCATGTATCGGCATGTAAGCTGGCTCCTGCCTCATCGTCGCCCACCATGTTGCCGCGCTATTTCCCCCGTGGTCGAATATCTTGAGGTCGTCTACTTCACCACTGACTCTCGGCTAATAATAGAATCCAAGGACCCTAACCTGGGCTTGTGGAGGGTATAACGGCGTGAGTGTTCGGAACGGAGCAAATACGTGGGGACGCAATCTGATACGAGATCCAGTGCGAATCTTGCCGGGCAACAAAAGAGGCATTTGTTAGCGGCCCGCCTTCTCGATTGCATGGCATCGTCGTACTGATGTGGGCAGGGCCCTGGCTTCCACTGCAGCCTTACGGAAACGCATCTGGCGTACGCTAAGACGTTGCCGGACATATGCTACTTTTCCGACGGCATCGCCTCAGAGTGCATCAGAGTATATGAGTATTGTGACCTGAAGCATCCGCAAGCACAAGATGGCACTTCCGCGCCCGACCGGAGCCTATTCAAAAAGTGTGTCAAGGACGAGTTGAAGGAGTTCCACGGCAGCCTCAATCAGAGCCAGGACGATTTGCCGAAGAAGAAGCATTGGTGGGATGTTTTCGGGTCATCCGGCCAAGGTAGCGTCAAACGGTCTCACGTTGACGGGCGAGATGATCGCGGATCCCAAAACACACAGAACTGGTGTCCGTTGTAACACTTCCTGGGTGCAGCACCGCATGAGGCCGGACTCGGTGGCCTTTGCACTTGAGCAGTCGCCGGGAAGTCACAGATGGCCTTGTATGTTGGGCGGATTTACTTTGGCATTAGAAAAGTCGACCATCGGCAACACTGAGGCGCGGCATAAGAACGATTATCATAAAGCATGGGAGATTTCCATTCATCCGCCAGGTGGCTACACACATGCCGCGCTCCCCTCAGTACACGTACACAAAGTTGGGGTTCTCCTTGTCGGTTATGTCCCTGAACGCCGTGGCGTTGAGCTCATCCGCCAGCAACTCGCCGCGCTCGCGCATCTCCTCGCGCCGCTTCTCCTTGAGGCGGTTCTCCCTGATGAAGGCGTAGCGGAAGACGAAGAAGAGGGCAAACTCGATGCAGTTGGCCACCAGAAGCGATCCGATGCCCAGCTTGTACGAGGGCGCCTGGTCGGCCTTGTAGAAAAAGGGCCCCGCGATGTTGCCGATGCAGGCGCCGAACCAAATCATGCCCGAGACAATCATCTTCTTGGACTGGCCGCCCGTGTTGGACGTGATGAGCGACAGGGAGATGACGAAGGAGGCCTGGTACGACCCGGTAAGGTAGCTGATGCATTATTAGCCTCGAGCCCTAGACACTTGCACGTTTGCCTTTCGATAGAGTGAACGAGGTGTGGGACACATACAAGCAAATGAGCCTCCCGACGTATGCGTCGGTCGGCGCGAGCAGGAAGCCCAGCGCGCCCGCAATGGTCGGCAGCATAAACATGGCGCACACCAGCGTCCTGCAGTTCTTGGGCATAAACTTGTTGGCGAGGGCGCCGAGGCCGATCCAGATGACGACGAGGACGCCCTGCGGGATGCCCAGCAGGGCCGTCTCGAACGTGTCGAAGCCGAGGCCCTTGATGACGAGGGTGGAAAAGTTGGAGATGCCGCCGTTGGGGATGTTGGCGACGAAGCCCAGCAGCGTAAACAGCCACGTCTTGTAGTCGAGGTAGGCCTCGCGGATCTGGCCCCAGTTGATGCGGCGCTGCTCGATGCCCGTCTGGTTGCGCCGGATGCGCGCAATCATGAGCAGCCGGTCGTCGCGCGAGAAGCCCCAGATGGTGCGCGGCGAGTTGGGCAGGAAGAGGCACAGCACGATGCCCCAGAAGGCGCAGAGGGCGCCGATGACGATGAACTCGTAGCGCCACGACGCGAGGCTGCCCTTGATGTGGCCGATGGCGTATCCTGGCAGGCAAGTCAGTCTTTGTCCACTCAGTCGTCTACGGCGTCTCGTCGAGAACACGAAAGGAGCATCACACATCACGTCGTGTGTGAGCGAAAACACTCACCGAGCAGGCCACCCCCCGCGACGCCAATCCCGTTCCACGCATACCACGCCGAGATGCGCGACGGCTGCTCCTCGCGCGTGTAGTACATGGACGTGATGAGCATAAAGGCCGGGTCGGCAATGGCCTCGAAGGCGCCGGACAGGACGCGCAGGGCCAGCAGGCCGGCAAAGTTCTTCACGGCGGCCTGGCACATGAGCAGGGCGCCCCACATGAAGATGTTGAAGGCCAGGTAGTAGGCGGGCGGGCTGCGCTGCATGAGCAGGTTGGACGGGATGGCCCAGACGAGCCAGCCAAAGTAGAAGGAGCTCGAGAGCCACGAGTACTGCTCGCCATGCAGGTCGAGGTCGTCCTTGAGGCCGAAGATGGCGGCGTAGGAGAGCGTCGTCTTGTCGACATACTAGACGGGGGGTTGTCAGTCGGGGTTGTTTGTGTGATGGTTGGCAGCGCGTATAAGTGCCGGCTGGCAGTTGACACTGGCGGGTAAAGCCAGCAACCGCTGAAGGCGGGCATCATGCACGAATGAAGAACACAAAGAGGCGCAAGACGCACGTAGAAAAAGTAGCAGATGCCCAGCAGAGGCAGTATGCGAAAGTCCAGCCTGCGCACCAGGCGCTTCTCCTCGGCCCGGTCGATGGCCTCGTCGTTGGGGTACTTGGCCAACGCCTCGGCGTACAGCTCCGGGTCGGGGTGGTGGATGGCGTCGACAATGGTCCTCTTGACGTCGCCATCGACCTCGACATGCTCGGCGTCGGCGTCAAACGCCTTGGTGGACACGGGATCTGGCGGGCTTGCCATCGTGTCCGGTGCTCAACACGTCGACGTTGCTGGAGGGCGAGAGAGAGTGAGGGGCGTGCTGCGTTGGTGTAACCCTCGAGAGGAATAATGCCTTGCCGACTTGGCCCGGATAAAGCCAAGGGAAGAGGAGACAACCAGAGGAGCTTGCTCGCCGCACCACGGCCGATCGACGACTTGACTTGGTGACTTAAGTACACACACGGCTGCCCTCCGCACGGAGGCTAGAACAGGTGGCCGATCGGCGGACAGAAGACCGGTGGGGTTGAGTCTGTCTTCCCCGCGATCCACGCCCTCGGGTCTGGGGTAGTAGTGCCCGACCTCGTTCGATGACAGTGTCACCGGCCAGCCGGCAAAGCGGAGGGCGCACGCCGCGCCTCTCCACGTCGAGCCGTTCTCGCGACCCTGGCCTGGCACGCCTTGTGCTCGCCACACCATCGAGCACCATCCCTCGCCCGTCCCAACGGAATACGCCCCCAGTGGTGGAAATCCGCCCGTCCGAATGCTCGCTTGGCCGCCGGCCGTGGGGGCACATGTTTGCGTTTGGGTTTGGCATTACCCGCGCGTGGCGGCGAGGGCTGGCAATGCCGGGATATCCCCATCAGCCACGGCGCCATGGCTGATTCGGGTAATGAATCAAATGCCGTCGGGAGATTTGCAGCACGTATTGCGGAGGTGTCCCGCACGTCCTGCGTACAGCAGCTCCCGAGGCGAGATGCCTTCGTATTCTATTGCATAATCACAGACCACAGCAGGAGCCGCAAATGCACGATACTTGGCCGACGACATGGATGGAGTGCCGGGGCGTTTCCCCGCCTTCATTAAGCGTCTACCGTCTACCCTAGTTCCTTTCAAACGTCACGTCTGGGAACCTCGGGCTCGGCCCCTTGAGCAGACCCTCGTCCTTGCCCAGCAGCGTAAACTCAACAAAGTCCAGCAAGTACCCCTTCAGAACCTCCATGACCCTTGTGCCCGTCGCCTTGCCGAGAAACGGCAGCAGCGCCTCGTTGTCCCGCAGCTTCGCAATGTCGCCCACGAGCGACATGTCCCAGAAGCTGTTGTGCACCGTGTCGTTTACGTTGAGCAGCTTGGAGAAGACGCGCGGGTACTTGGCGTCCATGGTCTTGAAGAAGTTGGTCCAGCCCGGCGTCCAGGTGGCGTTGTGGCCCTCGGCGCCGACGGTGAGGAACGACCGCGAGACGCCCGTCGTGGTGACAGGGCCCCAGAGCTCGCCGTCGATGTTGACGGCGCTGACCAGGCGCGGCTCCTTGACGAGGGCGTGCGCAGCGGTCGCGCCTCCGAACGAGTGGCCGATGTACGTCGTCTTGCGGATGTTGAGCTTGTCCATGACAAAGGACATGTCCTGCGTCCGCACGTCGAGTCCCTTGACGAGGTTGGCCGTGTCGTTGAGGTCGAGGCCCACGCGCCCGCCAAAGACGATCTCGCCGTCGGGGAACTGCACGACGTCCGTCTCGTACGGGTGGTCCATGACGATGATTTCGTAGCCCCTGCTGGCGAGTTGCTGCGCCGTCGCCGAGTAGAACAAGCGCGTGGTGTTGATGCCCGAGCCGACGAGAATCTTGAGAAACTTGTGCCGGCTCTGCGGGCTGCTGGCACCGCTGTCGCACTTGTCGCAGCACAGCTCGAGCTCGAGCGTGGAGAGTATGTCCTTGGGCCAGCCCGCGCCGCCGAGGTAGGCGTTGATGATTTCGTCTTCGATGGCCGCGACGGCCTTGGGCATGTAGGGCACGCGGCACGTCTTTCGGCAGCGGGGGACGGGCGTGAACCGCGAAATCATCATGCGCCTCGCGTGCGTCGAGTTCCAGGGATCGACGCGGCTCTTGTCGACGAGCTCCGACGACTCCCACCGGACCTTGTATCCGTCCTTGGGCGGGACGAAGACGGTGGCCACGGCCGCCGCCGGCAGCAGCGAGGCCGCGAGAACGCAATCAACCTTCATGATGGACAGCTACTATTGTGCAGGTTCCCTCTACCCATCGGCAACGCGGCGCCCGTCAGCCGGGAGCGGCCCTCTTTAACCCAGAATTCAAGCTTAAATCCGCCGTGTCGGGTTCCCCAGACAATACGGCTGCTGGTCTGATGCTCGGGATAAGCAAGCATTAGACCTTCCGGATCGGGCCAGCGCCGCCGTCAAGAGTCCCTGCTGCTTGACGTGCAGCGCGGGCCGTTGAACGCGTCCGGCTGCGACTGTGCGGAGATGACCCTTGGTTCCCTTGTCTTGGCGGCTTATTCTGGTGGTGATTGACGGGCTTTGGGTGAGCGGTTCGCCGACGGGTGCGCTACCCGTTTTCGCGGGGACATGTCGAGCCTCATTCCGCCGTTTAAGCTGCGGCTGACGGTGGCCGTGACAGTCATGGTGATATAAACTTGGTAGCGAGCCACGGCGAGGACGGGATCTTTGTCGTGCCCTTTTGTCCGTCAGACGGGCTCAGGGTCCTCTCCGTTGAGCTGGCGCAACCATTTCAACTCGAAGCATGGGGCTACCCGTTTAAGCGAAGACCGAGCCCGTCTTGTCACACGGAAACGTCGCCGAATCAAGTGACCGTCCGTTACTGTGGGTGAGGCTTGCTTGCCGTCTGTCCGAGGGCGGAAACGGTTGCCCTTCTCCACGCATACGGCGTGGACGACAGTCGGACCAAAGGCACGGCGAGGCGGGGGATAGAGAGGTGGGGATCTCAGGACATGGCGGGAGCAGCGCATTGATGCGCCCTCCATCTTAGCTAAGCACCGCTGAAGCTTGATCCATGAACGCCGCCGTCGCATTCGGGCACTGCCGACAGTGGGCGCCGGGGCGCTCGTTGCGCCGGCAGTGGACTGGCCACAGCGCTGTTGCGGCGGCGGGGAGGGCGCCCGGCGGTTGGCGGTGCTGGCGGCTCGCAAGCACTGGGCTCGCTGTGAGGTGCAGTGGAGGAACGGACCCTGAGCTGCCCCAAGCTCCCGCCCGTCCCCCGCCCGCGGAACTGCTCACAGCGGCTCCAGCTCCATGTGCTGCCCCACGTCGCCCGCTATCCGCCGCTGGCACCTCACCTCCTGTCCCGTCAGTTGGGGTCTGTCCCCCGCCGCCGCGCATGACGACGATGCAGCCCGGCGCAGCGCGAGTACAGGACACGGTTCGGCCGCCGAAGCACGGACCGAGGGCCTACTGCTGGGGCTCGACGCGACGGAGCGAGCGTGCAAGCGCGGCATCTTCACGACTTATAACGCTGCGCGGCGTCCAACAAGCTGCAAAACTGCACACCGGCATTTACCTCTTGCGCTGACCACCGAGGCCCGGACCCCGCGACAGCTTCCCCATCGTGCCCACAGTTCCTTTGGGTGCCGCGTCCGCCGCGTCTCATATACATCACTTCGACACAACATACCCAACCTCTCCGAAGCTCACGTCCTCGATCCCCCTCTCATCCCGCAGCAAACGACCAAGAGCCCGCTCGATCGACCGCTCAGGAGACAAAGACAGCGACAACGACGACGACGACGACAGCGTCGCGACCCGCCGCCGCAATGGCCTCATCCTCCTCCAACAACGGCGCCCACGAGGCCCTCCAGCCCATCCACCCGTCCATGGCCGGCAAGCTGGACCCCGTCTTCGAGAAGCTCTACAACGACAACGTCGCCAACACGCCGCTCAAGCCCATCGACCTCGCCTTCCTGCGGTCCAAGTACTCGGTGCTGTACAGCTACGGCACGGGCCCCGCGCCCAAGGTCGGCCGCGTCTACGACGACCGCATCGAGACGGCCGACGGCGTCGCCCTCGACGTGCGCGTCTACGAGCCCGCCTCGCAGGGCCCCTGGCCCGTCCACCTCGACTTCCACGGCGGCGGCTGGGGCCTCGGCGACCTCGACACCGAGGCGCACATCTGCCGCCACCTGTGCGCCAAGGCAAACGTCGTCGTCGTCGACGTCGCCTACCGCCTCGTCCCCGAGTTCCCCTTCCCCACGGGCATCACCGACAGCTTCGCCGCCCTGCGCTACGTCCACGAGCACGGCGCCGCGCGCTTCAACATCCGCCCGGACAGCATCTCGCTGGGCGGCGTCTCCGCGGGCGGGTGCATCGCCCTCGCCCTCGCCCACCTCGCGCGCGACCACCGGCCCGCGCCCATCCCGCTGCGCCTCGTCGCCGTCGGCACCCCCGTCATCGACGACCTCGCGCAGTACGCGTCCGCTGCCGAGTCGCCCTTCCCCTCGATGCAGGAGAACGAGTTCGCCCCGACGCTCAACTGGGGCCGCCTCGCCTGGTTCGACAAGCTCAAGTGGTCCTCGCTGCCCGCCGACCCGGCCGAGCACAAGGCCTTTCGCGAGGAAAAGGTCGGCTGGTTCGCCAACCTGCTCAAGGCGCCGCGCTTCGACGGGCTCGCCCGCACCGTCATCTACACGGCCGGCGCGGACCCCCTGCGCGACGAGGGCGAGCGCTACGCCCAGCTGCTCGTCGCCGCCGGCGTCGAGGTCACCGTCCGCCGCTTCCCCGGCGTGCCGCACCCGTTCATGCACATGGACAAGGACCTGTGGCAGGCGAGCGAGTTTATCGACAAGACGGCCCGCGAGATCCGGCTGGCGCATTGGGAGTAGGGGGGGAACACGCCGGTCGAGACGCGAGAGAGAAGGAAAAGGGGGGGAGGGGATGTGGAATGATGACCTGACTGTACATCTACAAACGGGGCTTGCGCGACGACAGCCCTCGTCTGCGAATGAATATAACGTGTTATGAAGATGCCCTTGCATCCCACGGTGCGCGTTGCCGCCTCCACAGCGGCGCCACGATCGGTGGTCAACACCCAAGTGGGAGCCGAAGGCAACCTTGATGACGGCACGCAGCCCGAAAGCGAGCACATGTCCGACGACACACAGTTGACAGCCTGACAAGCGGGCAGACAGCCATTATTACCTGCATTTATTCTTATCCTAGACATTGGTGTCTGATTCACCTCAGCCCTTGCCGCCCCGTGCGAGGGAGCACTGGCTCGGTCTCGCACCCCCAAGACAGCAAGCTGGCCGACTCGCCCATCAGCGTTCGGCTCGAGAGGCTTTCGTACGTCAATGTCACCGTGACAATCGTTCTTGCGTCGCCGGCACGAGCATCGCGCTCCTCGACGGACCCACGATCCCTGACGATGAGCCAGGCCCCACCCGACCCACGTTTCCGATTTCCTGCTCGTCTGCTCAAGCTGCTCAACCGATTCTTGCTTGCCGTGACATGTCGCGGTGAGCTGCCCAACCGTGCCGTGGTACAAGATGGATGGAAGGATGGATGGCTGACTAGCGATCAAACAGGCCCCTCGAACCGCCGTCTCACAGCGAGACAGTCCTATGCTGCCGAGGCGCCACGCCGCAGTCGCACACCGAGCGCCCGCAGCGGCAGACAGACAGGCCATCGAATCCTTCGGCGCTCAGGCGGCGTGGCCATAGTCTTTCGGTGCGGTGTTTTTGCAGCGGGAGCCCGTGGTGCGAATTGCGTTCGACGCCACCAGGGCCCGGCAATGACGCTTCACGCTCCCGTTATCGACGAACGGCTAGATCCATCCATCAATCATCCAGCAAGCTCTCGCTCTCCCCCTCCCCTCCCCCCCCATGTCCCCTGTACCAAGTGGAGCAGCACGGCCAGGTGGTGGTGGATGCTCGTCGACCCGCCCTTGACGGCCAACCACATGGCCGGCAGTGTCTCTGCCACGCCGCGGCCGGGGTGGGTGGTGGTGCTTTCACTTTGAGCGCAGAGGAGCGCTTGGAGGCCGGATGGCATGATGGTCGGAATGCGGAACGGGAGCTCGGTTCCAGGGGGGTGGGGAGAGGCGCAGGAGGACGACGCAAGAAGGAGGAATTGCTTTTTTCTTGCCCCCAGATGCACAGCTGCAAAAGAAAACGCCATCGAACGTCGGGGAGCGCTCTCTCGATTTGCCGTCGTCGGGTTCGCCGCGGTGCCGGGTGATGATGCTGCATGCATGCGTTTGGGGGACCCGGCCCACCCAGTACGGACGACGGACTGCGGGCTACGCATGCACGGGCGAGTGCCAGCACCCGGCACGCACCCACCCATGGCTGGCTGGACACCTATTCGTACATCATCATCACCCATTATCCATAGCTAGCCATGTAGCTTCTTCGTAAGCAGCGGGCAGATTAGGTGAGGTGCCTCTTTCGGCTGGCGCGCGTGCGTGGGCGAGGGTCGGACAAGGACGCCGCACGCAGGGACAAGGATGCGCAGGTGGCACGACAAATGACGGACTGGCGGCTTCTGGTGATGCGCAGCCGGGCCCAGCCAGCCAAGGCAAGCCAGAGCCTGCCCTCTTCGTGACGGACAGGGCTCGTCATCAGCCACTGGCGGCCGCAGACGGAGGAGACTGTCTTGGCCCTCGCTGTTCATAACTCCGGGCTTCAAACCCCAAACCCTCTTTCTTGCTGGAGCTCGGCTGGGACGCGTGCCTCGTCATCTCGCGTGGTCCCTCCCGAGTCCCGCCCTCCTTCGTTTCTCTGCCGCGTGCCGGCCGAATTCTGAGGCGCCGATCGACGTCGACGAATGGGTCCGCCACGGATGTTTGGCCTCGAACTGCAGTACTACGAGAGCTCAGGTCTCAGTGTGAGGTGGGATAGTTTCTCCGTTAGCAGGAAGACGGCCGGGCGCGCACGGACGGTGTGGGCGGGCTGCCGGTGTGTCGTCGTCGTTCGCTGCAGCCACTTTTCTGATGGCGTGCCGCTCAATCGACGAAACGGACGGGGGCCACTTTTTTGGCTGCACTGCTCCCAGTGCTCTGGCTGTCTTTCTCCGTGCCGAAGCAGGACGACGGCATGACGCCTCTCGCGGCAAGTGTTTGATGTGGACGGCGGACCGGCTTGACCGGACAGCCTGGCGGGCGGGTGGTGGTGGCTGGGGGACCCGGCAGACTGGACGAGCGAAGCTTCCTTGGACGGGGATTCCTGGCCTGCGGCGTGGTCGCCAGGGGCGCTCCCGAGATGAGACGGTTCGGTCCCCTCAATCTTTGGGCGGATGCGAGGGGGGGCAAGGCCCTCGCGGCATTAAAAGATGGCGAGCGAATCGCCTTGTTGGGGCCTGAAGCGGGAAATGCAGGAGTGCCTCGTGGCATGGCGGCAGTTGGCGCCCGTATCAGGTATTACTCGTGCGCGACGAACGAACGCACGACGCGTTCAAGGTTCCTCCCGCGCGGTGCGGGCGCAGGTGGTGACGCTGCTCGAGGTTGATCAAGGTTCCGTGCCACGCGCTGTCCAGGGCAGGCGAGATCAAATGGCAGCATCCCATCGGGGCGGGAAGGGATCAGACCCCTCCCCTCCGCCCTCCGCTCCCCTCCCACTGGACTCCCACTGGGCTGGGCTGGGCTGGGCTGGCCCCCCAGGCAATCTCCCGCTCGCATCGGAGCGCCGCCGCCGGCCACCGACGCCAAGAATAGACGCGACTCTGATGTGTCGCTGCCGCGCAGGTGTTTGTCTGTGCGACTGTTGGTGATGCACCCAAGTACTCGTACCGTGCTGTGCCTGCCGTTTGCGCTGCCCTGGCGGCACGAGTCGTCGTCAGGCAGGGCGATGAAATGCCGCCGGCGTAATCTTTGCACGACCCCCGAGCGACGCCAGATGCGACATTGAATCCCACGTATCGCTACGTACCCAGTGCCACACACAACAGGCGCCGCCATGGGTGCTACCGCACTTGGTACTGAGGCACGCTCTTGCCCGCCGCCGGCCGGATGCCCAAGTTGCTGATAGGCAGGCAGGCGGGCCGGCCCCAGGGGCCTTGCATGCTGGCCACGCTGCGCGGCCAGATTGTCGTGGTGGGCGCCGGTGCTGATGCTGGGGCCGTTTAGCCGCCGGCGCGCAGAGATGGGACGCTTCAAGGTTCGGTCCATCGAGAAGCTTGCCTTGCGTTGCCTTGCCTGCCCAGGTGTCTGTCTGTCTGTGTGTCCTCATGCGGCCGTGCAGATAAAGGTGCCAAAGTACGGGTACAAGGAGGGTCCCGTTGGGCCCCAGTGCGACCCCGTTCAGCGCTGCTCGGGACGGGACTGGACGGGGCGGGACCTGCGAGGTCCACTCCGTCCACTGACGAGGTGCAGTGGGAGTGGGCAGTTCCGATCGCTGCAATGAGGTGGTGCTCTGCCTGCTGGGCCGGGCAGGTAGGTCAGTGCGTGAGTTCTGTCTGGGGAGGGGCCTCCAGCTCTGCCCGGGCAGTGTTCCGTCCCCTCGGACAGTGCAGCACGGCAAGATGGAAGCGCCGAGGTCCATCAACTCCCACAGTGCACCCAGTGCACCGCATCCGCTGCGAAGTGGTGTCCCAGCTCGCCCAGCAGCCCCAGCCCCAATCCAGCCAGCGAGCGCCGCCGCCTCCCCCAACCCCAACGATCCGTGATCCATCACGTCCATGAGATGGTGCCCGCCCATCCATCCAGTTCCGACCTGGAGCAGGACATGGAAGAGGAGGAGGTGTGGGCGCGCGCCACCGCCATCCAATCGCCCGCTGGCCAGTGGCCGCGCCCGCATGTACCGCTACCGGGATCTTGACG